TGCATTAATTTTTTTCATCATTACTTAAAAGTCATACCCAAAAAAAAAGAGATTGTATAATGGCCACATTTTGAATTCATTTTTGGTTACAGACTAATCTTTTTCAAGTTTTAAAGAAACCTGAATGAATGAACTGAATGCCTTTACAAATACATCAAATGAAACTTATGATTAAACATTTTGCAACGACAATAGCAGCAACAGAGAAATAAGACTGAGAGAGACGAGACAACAGTTCATTCACCTTCTCTTCTCCGTTTTTAGTTAGCTCAAAGTATTTTTTTGACAGTTGTGTTTTGTGCTTGTCTTCGTGTTTGTTTTTGGCTTGAGATTTTTTGGGCTTCTCTCTTTATTCACCTTTTGATATGTAACAAATATTTGACCCACAATAAATGAGAGTGTCGCAGAGGAGTGCAAAAGACGTAAACCAAAGAGAATTCGCCTCTTCTTCAGACAACTGTGTTGACAATAATGTTTTCGCATAGGTCTATATTATTTCAGGAAACATAAAACGACGGAAATTTTACACTTGATTTTGTTGAATATTGAAGTTAAAAAAAAACACTATAGTTTGTGCCATCGATTCTATCTCCTGCAACAGAACCTGAATTATGGAATCTGTCATCCACGAAATGGGGGGAGTCATCGGGGTTGCTTGAGTCTGACTGGCTTGACAGGATTCCAATAGAAATCTGTGGTTATGTGATCGAGATGATGATACAACTAGAAAAGGCTACATTTAGATTTCATTTTGTACACCAATCAGCTTCTGTGCTCGGCGACACATGGCCCAGCTCTGGATGTCCCCTCTGGCTGACAAAACCGTCTGGACGACTTCTTCTTGAGTGCACAGGAACATTCGTCTGGATGGACTGTGTGGATTGTATGTAATTGGAGATTGCCAGCTGCTATTCCGATGGTGGGGTTTGCGAATTGGGCAAACATTTTTACATCACCTTTGGGCTTGGCCCAGCACCATAAAACTGTGAGAAAACTTGCTCGCTCGCTAAGGCTCCATATTTCATGGCACATTAAACGATGGAGCATAAAGAAAAGAAGAAATATACGAATGGAGACCACCGACCCCACCCCACTGGTGTTGTTGCTCGGGAGGGTCACAGTCGCACCGAAATGTTGTGTCGCGTCTTCTCATTGCTGGCGACATCGTTGTCGTCGTTGCTGTGGCTTTGACTGTTGGACTCACAGAATTTGCCTGTCTATTATCACCTTTAATCGATTTTTCGCTTATTTAAAACAAATGTACAGTTGTGCGCAGACACAGACACAAAGACCGATACACCGACACCAACGCAGACACATAGAGCACATTGGGAGCAGACACTGGCTATGGCTATTGCTATGGCCGTGGCTACACTCGCAATAAGTAAAATATAATTTCACAATTTTTCAGATGTCTGCTTTAGCTTACACAAACAAACACGCAGACATTTATACATAATAGAGGCAAACATACAGTAGCGGTCAATGGAATAGGGGTGGATTCACTTTGTCATAAAGCAGATTTTTTTTAAACAGGGATGTCCAAAGGATCAGTAGAAAATTGCAGCGCCGTTGATGTCAATTATATCTTGTTGAATTTCTGATCGAATTTTGTTTTTTGTTGAAATTAAATTCTTAGACTTGTGTATCCTAACATTTAAACCATATTGAAACTCGTTATGCTTATTTTTCCAATAAAATTTGCTCTCATCAAGATAGTTCCCATGAGTTAAACTTTCAACTAATAACCTTGATTGGTGGGCAACAAATGTATACAAAATATAATTGTTTGTTAATCTAATCATATTTTGTAGATTATAGCCCATTTCGGGAGCGTATGTCTATAGATTTTCAGTCATAAAAGAAACAAATATAGATCCTTAAACAACATACTCTTAAAATTACCCTTAAACAACGAGCATGGTTTTTTTTTTGCTTGTGGGAGATAATTTTTGGCTTTAACTATTTTGTTGATCGCTGCTGTACACACAAAAGCATACATACCCGTACATATGCATATTACTATTGCTTTTAGTTTATTGTTTTTGCAATTACTTTGGCTGATTTGTTCGTGTAAAAGCGGCACGGTACTGGCGGCTGCAAAGGCAATGGCGACGCCACAAAAGAAGAAGCAACAGAAGAAAGAAAGAGACTGAAGAAGAATCAAAGAAAAAGAAAAAAAAAAAGTAAACTCAATGACATGTACCCACACAAACTCACACACAGCAACACAACACCGATAGCCATAAACACGCTTTGATAAATATCCAACCTAGACAAAGGCGTATGCAAACCCCCCTTTTGTTACACTTTTAGCACTTAGATGCCCCGTTGAAAGGAAAAAAAAAACTTAAAGCGAGATAAAAAAAAAGGAGAGGTTTCAAAGGTTCTACGCTACATTTGCAAACAACGAGTATGACTAAAATCCTAATACCTCCTGCAAGGGTATATGTATATGAAATTAATTTTTGGTCACCCCTAAACGTCTAAGCCCCTGGAAGTCTATCTCTCCTATCTCAGTCTTTCGCACACAACTATGTGCTTCGCATGTACCTTTCGACTACTAGTAATAATAATGGGGGAAAAAGCTGGAAACTAAATAAATAAATAAATAGCTGAAATTGCAAAAGCGAAATGTAATTGATTACACTCAAAGCAGCAGCGGCAGCAGCAAAGAGAGGAGAGTAAAGACACAGAGAGATGAGAGAGAGAGAGCGACAACTGGCTAAATGATTGTCCAATGAGCGCGAACAACTCATGGGTTTTCAGAGAGGGGGGTGCTGGGGCGGTTATAAGGGGGAAACGGTGCTAAGCTCTCCGCTTAGCCCCATGTCAGGCGACCATCCGTGCACTCATCACATAAGTTTCGCTGATGATATGTTTCTCTCTCGTGTGTGTGTGTGTGTGTGTGTGTGTCTGAATGAATGGAGATGTGTGCAAATGTGAAGGTGTATGTGCGGTTCACTGGTTGACTGACTGCGGCGAAGCCTCTGCCTTTGCCCTTACCCTGTCAAAATACACTCGCACCATAATGTATGCGTACACCCTCTAAACAAACAAAAGTTTGTTTGTCTGTAAATTATGCTGCGTATTAAATATCGATATATTTTGCATTTCTCAATCTCATTCATCTGTGCTTTAATTCGTTTTTGTAGGGTGTACGAATACACGTTTTACCCACTGTGTGACGCGCACGTATTTATAACAGTACACAAGAGCAGCAGCAGAAAATTTTCGGTTGTGTATGTAACTGCATATCTCTATGTACGAGAGATATGGTTCCTCTCGCTGTTGTTGTTTTTGTTGTTGTTGTTGTCTCTATGTCTCTGTCTCTATCTCTACTTTCCATTTGCACACAGACACACACACACACACACACGCAGAAACACGCCATAAAACAGACACCACACCTTTGCCACCCCACCGCCACTCCACTAGCTCCTCGAATCTCCTTCTCTTTGCTGGTGGCATTTGCATATCTTTTGGCTCTCACAGCTTCCCCCGCTCCACACTCCCTACCTATATCTGTACTTGTGCAGCACCACACCACCCCACCACCCATGAACCAGTCAGTCAACCCACCCGCATTTTTCTTATTTTTTTTTTTGTTTCTGCCTCCTCCTTGCCTCGCTCTCTTTTTGTTGCCGTTTTTCTGCTACTTTAGATTTTCGGCTAAAAACGGGCAACGCGCGTCGGAGACAATGCGAGAAAAATCGATAGAGTTGCCATTGTTTTTTTCACTGTCGTCGCATAAGATTTTCTACCCCCACCAAAACCACCACCGCCCCACCCCCTTCAACCCAACACCCAACCATTTACCGAATCGAAAGCCCAACCCGAACCGAACTCCCTGGCAAAATCCATTTCCATTCCTACAAGGAAACTTTAATCTCTGTTTTACCATCTACCCTCTTTTTTTGTGTGTGGGCTCCGCCGAATCATTCAGCAAAACCAGTGAATCATTTAATTATTTTACACTTGATCTTTGTTTTATTTTGTGAAACATTTTTGGTGGGTGATTTCTTCACTCATCCGTGTATAAAGTATGAACTAGTTCCAGTTCATCATCTTTTTATTTGTACCCCAGCAAATATTTGTGTGCCTTCTCGTACTAGTAACTCCGTTTATTATTTTTGCCTATGTGTAAAATTAATTAATTAATTCTATAAAAGGTTTATAGCAATGCAATGGTATTCACTTGCATGGGCTTAGCTAGTTCCTGTTATTGGTTTTTTTTTTTGTTATCTTACATTTGAAAAAATTCCATTTCATTACCCTAAAATCATGTAATTTCGCAAAAATTATTTTTGGTGTATTATTTACGTATCTTTTTATTATTTATTTGTTTGAATGATTTATTAAGTGAACTATGAAACCCAAAATCATTTCCCCATCTGCTCAAAATTTTGAGGGGTCAAACTGTACGTTCTATGTGACAATATTCGAAATTCATAAGCGTATAGCTTTTCCCCTTAAAACTTGATGCAACAGCAACAATCGCAACAAAAATTGTATCGTGTTAAGTACAAAATAGTTACTAATAATTGGAAAATCTGTCTTAGACTTTGGTTTGCACAAAGATTTATCATTGAAACGTGTTTGTGTTCTGTTTTATTGCTTCTCTATCATCATAATCGCTCACTTATGTTATCTACAGATGGGTCTGTACGCATAAAAGCTGGTATTAGCTTTTGTTTCTTCTTATATTGTATAACAAGTTATATTTAAGTACCAAGTAAAAGTTAAGTAAAACCATTAGCTCATATCATATCTATAGATATTTCTATCTTAAAATCAAACTAAAATTCTTATTTTCTTTTTCTATTTGCAGAATAAACAAACAAATACTTAAAAACTATGCAAATTTCGCTTAAAATACGCTCGTAAAAAAAACATGAACTCTCTGATAAATGTGATAAATTGCCGTTTAACGTAGACCCATTTATAAACCACAATTGTATACTAATATTAATCTATTGATTATTTTTGTTGATTTCCAGCTGTGAGCAAATGTGTTTCACTGCGAATATGTCAAAGGTCGGCCATGAAGTGCGCGAAACAAGAAAATCAAATGACTTTAATAATACTATATAAAAGCAACATCAAGACGTTAAATTGCACATCAGCTGTAATTAAGTTTAGTAGTTAGAAACAAAAGAAATCTATAAACCAATATAATATACATAAATATATATAAATAGTGAAAGAAAGTGTGAAAGAGGAGGCCCGCCCCCACAACAACAACAACATAAACGTATATATATATTCAGGGGTTCCAGACAACCCCCCAACATCCCAAAACGGAACTTGAACTCGAACTCGAAACCAAAATCCAGTTCCAGTGGCAGTTCCCCGGATTCCACCTTTTGACAACGGCCACGCGCAGAGAGCAGCATCAAAATTAAGCCAATAGACGACCAAACATAAAAAAACGCAGCGTCGCGTCTCCATCGACGTGTAACGGACATTTCTGTGTGCGCTGCGTTTCAAAAATCTGATGGATGGAAATGCACAAAATATGTTTCACGGAAATCATCAAGGGTGAGTTTTTATTATCCTTTTTTTTTTCAGTTTACTTTTTGTTGGTAAAATGTCACCCCAAAGAAGTTAGGGAAATGGGTTAAATTATTGAGAAGATGGAGAAAATTCTTTTAATTTATTGAAATTATTTCATTGAAATATTAGTTTACAGGGACAGTTCCTATGATCAGATCTGGGTGCTAATTGCAACAGACCTTAAAAACATATTCATATAGAAAGTCATGCACATACAATACTCGTTAAGGGATGTAGTGAATTTGCGTGTTTCAAAATCGCTCATATTTTTATCAGATGATGGTTATAAGTATTTTAACAAAGTGATATATTATAGTGTTTATTTTTTGGTAAATGGTGTGTGTTCTGCTTCTATTTATGAAGTTTATTTACTATTTATCTTTCTACGATGTATAGGTTTTAGTGTCTGCAAAGAAGAATTCGCATTTGAAAATATGTAATAATATGTAATATGAAACGGAATCTAATGGAAGGAGTGAGAGTACATTGGAAAAGGTGTCGGGTGTAAGAGAGAGACGGAATGTAGAAGATACCGTATAACAAATAAGGAACGGATACCGTAAGAGAATCAGAATCGGAAGGAAATTTATAAAACGGAAGATCAGACGATGGGTGATGTAGAATGTCTTTCACACTCACGGCATAGATGTAGAATTGTGTCCAAGGGAGCGTCTTATTAAATGAGGTTCAACTGTCTTTTATGAATATCAAAATTAATTGGCTATTTATACTAGGACTGCGTTGTGAGGGCAAACTCTCTCAATTTGTCTCGCACCACGAACCACGCCTGCTAAGACATCTATTCTAATGTTAATTCCAGCACTTCGTTCCCCCTTAAAAGTTAGGGCAAGGCTAAACACATCATAAAGGATGTCAAGTACCGCATCCTAGGGCTAAAGCTAGAACACCCTCTATAGTTATCTTTAACTCAAACTTACTCTCCTTTCCTTGTCTTTCCTTTTTTACAGAGATCCCTATTACCGTTACGATGCGGCCGCCGCCGCAGCAGCCGCCGCAGCGGCAAATCCTCGGGCAATGGGCCCACCGGGCGGCTATCCGCCGCGCCACAGAGCCCCACATCCGCTACAGCAGCAGCCACAATATCCATCGTACCAGCCAACGGCGGAGAATCTGTACGGGCTGGGGGCCGCCGATCAGCATGCGGCGAGCATGGGCGTCGGAGTCGGTGTGGGCGTTGGAATGGGTGATCTAAGTGGATGGGGAGCAGCCCCCTCGGTCCCGGGACAGGCAGCAGCGTATCCGGGTGCTGGTCTGGGGGCCTATGGTCATCCGCAGGCGGCTCCACCGGCGCAGCAGCAGCGCCAGAGCAATGCCAGCGCCTACCGCCAACATATGCCCGCGTACGGACAGCAGGAGCAGCAGAAACTAGCTCCATACGGCGCCCAGCAGAGCATGATGACGGGCTACGGGAGTCTGGCGCCCCAGCAGCAACAGCAGCAACAGCAACCGCCCACGCCACAGCAGCAACAGCAGCAGCAACAACAGCAGCAGCAGAGCCAGCAGCAGGCTCGACTGCCGCAGCACTATCCGCAGGTCCCTGGCCAGCATCCCCTCTATCCCGGCGTGGGAGTGGGCGTGAGTGGGGCACCGACAAGTGCTCTTCAAGCGGGACAACCGGCCGCACCGCAGGCCTATGCCCACAGTCCGTACGGCAGTCCGATGCAGCATCAGCCGGGACGGGGTGCCCCCCAGCATGTGGGCTACGGGCATGCGGGACTCGATCAGGCCTCGGCCTACGGCCAGCATGTGCCGAGTGCAGCGCCCCCGGGCCACCATTTGACCGCGCAGCAGCAGCAGGCAGCGCAGCAATTGGGGGCCCACCAGCAGCAGCAGCTCCAATCGCAGCAACAGCAGCAGGCGCAACAACAGCAGCAGCCGAATCATGTGGGTCTGATGCAGCAGCAGCAACAGATCCCAGGAGCCGGCCTGCCGCCACCACACATGGGCATGCCGCCCAGCTATGGGAGCCACCACCAGCAGCAGCAGCAACAGGTGAACCCCCAGCAGCAACAACAGCAGCAGCAGGCTGCGCCTCCCTACATGTCCTCGAGCAAGCATCAACAGGCGGCGGCACAGCTCAACTCATCGCCACAGTACAGGGCGCCGTTCCCCCAACTATCGCCACAAATGTCGCCACGTCCGCCCACCATGTCACCTCATCCACAGATGTCACCGCGACCGGTGGGCGTATCGCCAGCGAAGCCACCGCCACAGAGCAGTCAGGGACAACAACAGCAGCAACAGGTGAACGCTCAGCAGCAGCAGCAGCAGGTGAACACCCAGCCCAGCCAGCACAGCATACAGGGAATGGTGGGGCTTCCGTCGCCCAGGCCACAGCCACCGGTCGGTGGGAACACGGTGGGAGCCAGTTCCTAAGGTGCCGCCCAGCGTGGGCGTGGGAGTGCCGCCCAGTGTCGGTGTGGTTCCTACACCGGTAAACACTCTCCAGGCCCTCGAACAAATGGTAATGCCCACCCAGGCGCATGGCCTGCCACCAATGGACTATCCTTCGGCGTACAGGAGTGCTGTTGTGGGTCCCAGGATGCCAGCCTCACCATCACCACAGCAGCAGCAGCATCACCAGCAATGGGGTGGCCCCCAGCATATGGCGGCCATGCAGCAGCAACAGGCACAGGTGGCCGCCCAGCAGCAGGCGGCGGCACAGCAGCAGGCGGCGCAACAACAGGCAGCGGCGCAGCAGCAGCAAGTGCAACAGCAGCAGCAGCAACAAGCACCACCACCCGCCGCACAGCAGCAGCAGCAGGCGGCGGCAATGTTACAGGCAGCCCAGCAGCAGCATCACCAGCAACAATTAAGCATGTACGGCCAGGCAATGGGGCAGCAGCAGCAGCAACCACAGCCAACACAGCAGCAACAGGTGGTTGTGCCACCAGTGGTCGCACAGCCGCAGCCACCAGTGGCAACACCACAACAGCAGCAACAACAACAACAACAGCAGCAACAGGTGCAGCAGCAGCACCAACAGCAGCAACAGCAACAACAACAGCAATCCCTCAATGACCAACTGCAGCATTCCATCAACGATATTGTGGGAGGAGGCGGTGGCAGCTCTGGAGGAAGCAGCAATCAACAGCAGCAGCAGCAGCCCCAAATCTCGGCCATGTCCTCGCCTTTGCATCAGCAGAGTCTCCCCAGCATGCATCATTTGATGCAACAGCCCAATATGGAGGCAGCAGCAGCAGCACCTCCGCAACAGCAGCAGCAGCAGCCACAACAACCAACGTTGACATCGCCGCATCATCAGTTGCAACATCAATCGCCCATACATCAACAGTCGCCACATCACCAACAGCAGCAGCAGCAGCATCTGCCGACTTACAATCAATCGCAGGTGCAGGTGCAGTCGCAGGCGCAGCAGCAACAGTTTGACCCGTTTTCCAATATATTGGGTGATGCCAGCAGTCAGGCGGCAGCGTCGGCAGCACAACCACAGGCGCAGGCCCAGGCACAGCAACAGATCATGTCGCCGGCCCATGTGAGTTCCCCAATACCACAACAGATGCAGCAGCAGCTGCAGCAGCAGACCCCACAGCAGCAGCAACAGCAGCAGACTCCCCAGGCAAGTCCAACACCAGCAGGCCCCCACGACACCCTCCCATCATTTGAGCAGCATACTTAATGAGACCGCTAACTCCAATGATTCGTCCACTTTGGCTGTGGCCGCGAATGACAGCAACAACAGCAGCAGCAACAGTAGCACCAACAGCATCGTGAACAATCAGCCAACGTCCGTTCACGACAGCAACTCGCAGAGCAGCATCAATAGCAACAATCAACAGCAGCTCCTAATGGATAGAGATACGAATTCGCATGGGGCGACTTCAGAGCACTCCACACAGCATGCGGTGGGCGTAGATGTGGGGCTGTTTGATCAAAATTCCATGTCCTCGTCGAGTGCGGCAGTGGCTGCTGTGGCCTCGAATGCTGCCTCGGCAGCGGCTGCACTGCTGGACAGCAATTCGCAGTCATCGAATACGGAATTCGAGAAAAATCAAAGCGAAAGTGAGGGTTTGAGTGGCAGCACAGGCACAGGAGGTGCCGCCTCTGTAACCGAAACGGAACTGCCACAAGATGAGACGAGCATGTCCAAGACGCAGGATATAGCATCCATGGGGGCCACAGAGCTGCTGCCAGTGGTGGGGCAAGATGATCTGCTGGACAAGACCACAGAGGAGCTCGAACAGACAACATTGAGCCAGCCAGATCTCTCGACCTCTCTCTCAGAGGACCCGAAATCCGGGGAGGAAATGTCTGAAGAGAAATCCCAGCCAGCAACAGCCGTGCAGACGGAAAGCAATACCCCAGCAGCACTCACGGGACCGGGTGCGGGAGCGGTACCGCCTGCTATTCCTCCGATGGGTATGCCTTTGCATCCTTTGGCCCCGGGCTATGATGCACAGGCACAGGTTATGCCTCCAATGCTGCCACCATATGCAGCAGGAGCGGGCATGTATCCCCCCTATCCGATGCTGCATCAACAGGAGATAGCGGCACTGCAACAGCAGATCCAGGAACTGTATTGCATGCCCCCGGGCCACGAGCATCAGGACAAGTTGATGCGCCTGCAGGAGCGTTTGAATCTGCTGCAGCAGCACGAGATGGCCGAACAGTGTGCGGGCGGGCCGCAGTGTGTGCTCTTCCAGAGCATGCCACCGTACATGGCAGGGGGACCGAATCCTCTGCTCAATCAGCAGATGGTGGAGTCTCCCCAGGTGTCCTCGACCACGGGCAGGGGACGCAAGGGTGCGAATAAACCAAGGAAACCGCGTGCCAAAAAGGGCGACAAAGCGGGACAGGCGGGCAGCCAGCAGGATCTGATGGACATCAGCGGGAATGTTGTGGTGGCAGCAGCCAACGCTGCCATTCCCACCACACAGCTGCCTGTTTCCGAGGATTGTGTGACCCAAGGAGCGGGCGACACGAGTGTCGTAGGGATGCTCGAGTACAGCGAGGGCATGGGAGATCTGTCGCAGGATGTGCACTCGGCCAACGAGCTGGACACCTCCACCGATGGCAGCGGCAAAAAGAAGAAGCCGCGCAAGCCCCGCACCCCCAAGGACCCCAACAAACCGCCACGCGACAGGACGCCCAAAGTGAAGAAGACCCGTGATCCCATGGATCCCAATTCCACAGATTCCCCGGGTGCTGGCCGCAAACGCGGCAGTGTCGGGAAGCGTCGCAAGCAGTACGGCGAGGAGGGTGCGGAACCACCAGGAGACGGCAGCGAAGTGGAGGATAACAAGCCGCTGGTCCCCAAGTCGGGATCCGCTGATGCCGATGGCGAAGCCGAGCCCACATCCGGCGGAGGTGGGGCAGGAGTCGATGGCGAGTCGCCCGACTATGACGACATTCCCGTGTCGAAGATTCCACGCAGCGCAACTGAAGAGGATAAGGATCCCGAGGCGGGAGACGAGACTGTGGATTCAGTGCCGGACTCTGCAGGTGATGCTGCCTCGACGCCCAGTCGCAGGGATCGCAAGCGATCCACCGCGAGGAGTCGCCGCAATGCAAACTCCGAGGATGGAGGCAGTGCCCGGCGCAATCGTGGTTCCCTGTCGGCCAAGGCCCTCAAGAAGCGAAGGAATCGCGGAAGGATTGTACCCGAATCCGATGGCGAAGACGATACCATGGATCGCACGCCCCCGCCATCGCCACCACCCGACTCGGAGCTGGACTCGAACAAACGCCGCTCTTCGAGGAACACACAACGCAAGAAGTACGTCGATGATGTGATGCTACGATTCTCCGATGACGAGAATTCCCTGCTGGTGGCATCGCCCGTCAAAAAGGACAAGAAATCGTCGGCCGCGGCCAATGCCGCCAACTCGAATGCCGGCAGCGATGTGGAGAAGGCAGAGCCCCAATCTGGTGCCGAGGGTGAGGCTGGGAACTCTGCGGGCGAGGGCGAGAAGCCTTCCCTGGCGATGGACGAGAACAGCCAACTGGAGGCCAGTTCCAGCACCTCGGCAGCAGCCGCCGCTGCAGCAGAAAAGGAGCGTCAAAGCTCGAGCGATGCGGCATCCGCTGCTATGTCCTCGAAGCCCAATTATGTGTACATCAACACTGGAGATGAGGATAGCATGGTGGTGCAACTGGTGCTGGCCATGCGCATGGGCAAACGTGAGCTAATCCCCGAGGTGCCCAAAGAGAAGACGCCCGAGCCGGAGCCAGCGAAAACGCCGTCATCGCCATCGCCAAAAGAGGAAACAGTGGCATCGGCAGACAGTGAAGATGCTACGAAAAAGGATAAAGAAACGGAAGATACACTCAAAACCGAGGGAGAAACCGAAACTGAATCCAAGGATGGGGAAAGCAAACTTGAGGAAAAGGAAAAGAAACCAAAACCAGAAACAGAGTCCTCTGAAATGGAAGTCGACGACACGAAAGAGGAACCTCTCGACAAAGAAGAAACGGAGAAATCCGAAGAAGAATCCTCGGAAAAATCCGATGAGGAGAAAATGGAAATTGATGAAACTGAAACGACTGAAGCGACAGCTGTAAAATCCCCAGAGGAACCAAAATCCGAGGCAGAAGATGAAGAAGCCGCCAAGACTGATGAAGAAGAAACCGCCGCCACTGTGGCACCCGAGGAAGAGGATAAGGAATCGGAGACCGAGGATGAGACCAAGGAATCAGAGACCTCCGACAAAATGGAAGTGGATGAAAATGTCGGAGACTCGCCAAAGTCACCAAAGCCAGCAGCAGCAGCAGCAACAACAGCAGAAGAAGGGGAAGCTGAGGAGGCCAAGACAAGCGTCAAGAGTCCATCCTCCAAGACAGAGGAAACAGATGAAACAAAACCTGCCGCGGAGAAGGAATCCACAGATAAAGAAGCCGCGCCCAAAGTGGGTGAAGAAAGCGAGAAGAAAGAATCAAGCGATGAAGATGGGGATTCGGAAGCGAAGGACAAGGAGAACAAACCGGAACCCGTTTACATCGATGTAGAGGAATATTTCGTGAAATATCGTAATTTCAGCTACCTCCATTGCGAGTGGCGCACCGAGGAGGAGCTGCTCAAGGGCGATCGCCGTGTGGCCGCCAAGATACGTCGCTTCCAGCAGAAGCAAGCCCAGCAGGTGAACATCTTCGAGAACATCGAAGAGGAGCCCTTCAATCAGGACTTTACCGAAGTCGATCGCGTGCTCGACATGTCCGTGCATACGGATGAGAACAGTGGCGAGACCACAAAGCATTATCTCGTCAAGTGGAAGTCCCTGCCTTACGAGGACTGCACCTGGGAGCTCGAGGAGGACGTTGACAATGACAAAATCGAGCAGTATCTGCGCTTCAACAAGACCCCATTGCGTTGCGAGTGGAAGAGCCGCAAGCGTCCGCATCCCGAACAATGGAAGAAGCTGGAGAAGACGCCCATCTACAAGGCGGGCAACAGTTTGCGTCCCTACCAGCTGGAGGGTCTCAATTGGTTGAAGTTCTCCTGGTTCAACACCCACAACTGCATACTGGCCGATGAAATGGGTCTCGGCAAGACCATACAGAGCTTGACCTTTGTCCATTCGGTTTATGAGTTTGGAATACGAGGACCATTTCTGGTTATAGCCCCCCTTTCGACGATACCCAATTGGCAGCGAGAGTTTGAGGGTTGGACGGACATGAACATTGTGGTGTATCACGGTTCGGTGACCAGCAAACAGATGATACAGGACTACGAGTTCTACTACAAAACGGACAGTGGAAAGGTGCTGAAGGAGCCCATTAAGTTTAATGTACTTATAACCACCTTTGAGATGATTGTCACGGACTATATGGACCTCAAGCAATTCAATTGGCGTCTGTGCGTGATTGATGAGGCACATCGATTGAAGAATCGGAATTGTAAACTCCTCGAGGGATTGCGACAGCTGAATCTGGAGCATAGGGTCCTACTGTCGGGCACACCACTCCAGAACAATATTAGCGAACTGTTTTCGCTGTTGAATTTCCTCGAGCCCGCGCAGTTCTCCTCCCAGGAGGAGTTTATGTCCGAATTCGGAAACCTTCGGAATGAGGAGGAGGTGAACAAACTGCAGGCACTGCTGAAACCCATGATGTTGCGGCGTCTCAAAGATGATGTCGAGAAATCGCTGGCCCCCAAAGAGGAAACCATCATCGAGGTGGAGCTCACGAATATCCAGAAGAAGTACTATCGCGGCATACTCGAACAGAACTTTAGTTTCCTGAAGAAGGGCACCACATCGGCCAATATACCCAATCTGATGAACACCATGATGGAGCTACGCAAGTGCTGCATTCATCCATATCTGCTCAATGGAGCCGAGGAGCAGATTCAATACGATTTCAAGTCGCAACATGGCGAAGATCCCGAGTCCTATTACAAGAATTTGATTCTATCGGCGGGTAAAATGGTGTTGATTGACAAACTCCTGCCCAAACTGAAGGCTAATGGTCATCGCGTGCTGATCTTCAGTCAGATGGTACGCTGCCTGGATATTCTAGAGGACTATCTGGTCTACCGGAAGTATCCCTTTGAGCGGATCGATGGACGCATTCGCGGTAATCTCCGACAGGAAGCCATCGATCGCTACTCGAAACCCGGCTCCGATCGCTTTGTCTTCCTGCTCTGCACGAAGGCAGGCGGATTGGGCATCAATCTGACGGCGGCCGATACGGTGATCATCTACGATTCGGACTGGAATCCCCAGAATGATTTGCAGGCCCAGGCCCGATGCCATCGCATCGGGCAGCGCAAAATGGTGAAGATCTATCGTCTGCTCTGCAGGAACACCTACGAGCGGGAGATGTTCGACAAGGCCTCGATGAAGCTCGGACTCGACAAGGCCGTCCTCCAGTCGATGAACACCCAGGGCTCCAAGGATGGCAACAACAAGCAGTTGACCAAAAAGGAGATTGAAGATCTCCTCAAAAAGGGTGCCTATGGGGCCGTCATGGACGATGACAATGCCGGGGATAAGTTCTGCGAGGAGGATATCGATTCGATCCTAAAGCGACGCACTCAGATCATTACCATGGAATCGGAGAAAGGTTCAACCTTCTCGAAGGCCTCCTTTGCCGCCTCCGGCAATCGATCGGACATCACCATCGATGATCCCGACTTTTGGACCAAATGGGCCAAGAAAGTGGACATAGACCCCGATGCCTGTGAACGCGACGAGACCGAAGATCTGGTACTCTCCGAGCCACGACGACGCACTCAGATCAAACGCTATGGTCATGAGGATGTAATGGAGCTCAATTCTGAGGATTCGTCGAATGAAAACAGCGATGAAGAGGGCGGAATAGGTAAGAGAATCTTCACCCCCACCATAAGATGGTATACATGAGACATATAAATGTTTTCTGTTCCCCCTACCAGGTCTACGTTCGCGACGCCGCAAGGAGAAGCGCGATCGCGCCAGGGACAAACGAGAGAAAGGCCATGAGGAGTACTTACCACGTGAGCGTGATGCGTTGGCCGCCCTGGGTTTGGAGGAGATTCAGTATGGCAATTGGGCAAAATCCGAATGCTTCAAGGTGGAAAAGGGTCTGCTTTCCTTTGGGTAAGTTTTTTGTTTGTTTAAACTAGAAAAAGATAGAACTTCAATGATTGGATTCTGAGATAGAAATTGTAGACATTAACTGAGCTTAATGATGTTAATGTTAGATTTGCCAATTTTGTATGCAACAGTGATACGACATATTTTAGGTGTCGAGGCTTAAACAATTAAATCAATCAAAGGATATAAATTTATTTTTTTTAACAGAAATATACCGATATATAGAGATCGGAGAGCTGTGATCTAAATGATCATTAAAATTCCGATATGCGCATACGGCGACGAATAAGATTGTTGAGCTTCATGTTCAGGATGTAGATCTTGCGATGGAGCATCTTCTCCTCCTTCTCGAGAACGAGAGCCTCCTCCTTGCGTTCGATATACTCGCTGACACTGGGCGCCTCGTACTCCTGCAGTTGGGCGCGCAACTCGTCAAGGGTCGCCGAGTCCTTGTCGTTGTGCAGCTGGACGATGGACACTTCCTTTTCCAGCTTGGAAATGGCACGAGTTACCTCCTCGGTGCGATTGACAACCGAACGCATCTCGGACTCTAGGTTCATCATGGCCTGCTTCTCCTCGGTCATCGCCAGTGAGGTCTTACCGGTGACGCCCTTGAGTCCCGCCATGTGGATGTTCTTCTCCTCCAGCTGATTGATTAGCTCCGTGCGCTTGATGATCAGCTTCTCAAAGTCAACGGCCGTGAGGATGCCACTTAGGTCTGATTTGGTGATGAGATCAGCACGATGCTGCTGGCAGGTCTCCTGCAGTGAAACAATCGTTAGCTTCATGGTCCCAAGCAGAGCGCGGGCATTCTTGAACCAATTGCTTGTGAATTTGCGCAGCTTTCGCTCGATTTGTCGCTCTGTGGCCGACTCCAGGAAGGCTACATCGTTCTCGTCGCGCAGAAAGTGCAACATGAAGTTGTTCTCCGTCTCCATGGTCTCCTCGCTACGAGCCCGTAGCTCTTCGATCTTGGCACGCAGCTGCTTTACCTCCAACATGGCTAAAAGGGGAAACACATTGGAGTGAATTTTCAAAACAGAAGAGAACATCAAGATTTACCATTCTTTTCGATATCCACCACACGCTTCTCCACTTCGGCAGCCCTTTTCTCGGCCATCTCTGCCTTGGCCTTGTAGTTTAGTTTGTAATCGGCGCCACGACGCCTATCGGTTGCTGTGGGCGCCAAGGACGCCAGATGGGATGTGGAGATGGGTATGGAACGCTTGGAACTCGACTGCCTACTGCTCATCAATTGACTGCCATGACCCGAGTTTCGCTGCTTGTTCTGCAAGCGTTTCAGTATCGAAGTGCGACGCTGTCGCAGGCCAATCAATAGCTTTGGATCATTCTTCTCCAGGAACTCGACCATAATGTAATTCTCCAGCTTCATGGTTGCCACATCGTTGTGTATTTGCTCGATGGTCCGCAGCATATCCATGGCATCGAAGGTGGCCAATCGTGTGACACGCTCCTCGGGCGTATAGCTGCGATAATCCTCCAAATAATATTTATACATAATGGCCGCAATGTCCAGGTCCTGTGGCGGCACATACTCCTGCGGGACACCTGTCTTGCTGAGATGCGACTTGATTTCGGACCTGCGGCTCATCGACGGTTCCGTCTTCAAGCTATGATCCGACATACTCATCTTGGTGTTGGTTTACTCAATATTGGAGAAATATAAATTAAAGACAAAATTAATTTTATTTTTATGTAATATTGTTTTTTACTATTTTAGAAGGTTAGACAGGAATATATTGGATAACAAGATTTTAAAAGGGAAAAATAAGTGATATTTGATAGGAGGGTATATGATAGATAGATGATATACGATATAAAACATAAAGAAGGGTACATTTGCATACATACATTCATTCATATAAGAGTTCGTACCTTACTTTCTTATTAGGCCAAACGCACAAGAAAATCGTGTTATGGAATCTAGAAATCTAAATGAAAATCAGTTCTCTTTTTAGTCATGTTTATCCACAGAAGAATCCTATTATTACCGATAGAACATTCATTATTTATTTTTTCCAAAATTCAAACACTAATTTTGTATGCCATCTTTTTGCAGTTGGGGCCGTTGGTCAGAACTATTGGAATTGGGATCATTCAAGCGGGGCTGGCGTGATATTGATGTTGAGGATTGTGCACGCATAATTGTAAGTATTAAAAACCACAGAAGATCCATTTGTATATTATTTTAGGCTGTACATAACTTAATGATGACCAAGCTATGCTAATATTGAGAGAACTTTAGGTTTTCGCTGAGTAAAAACACAACTTCTCAACCCGCTGAAAGAAAACAAACACATCAAGAATATGTACTAAGCATTTCAAAGAACTTCATAAGTAATCGTATTTTTTTCCCCATTCCCCTTCCAGCTTCTCTACTGCCTGCAGGTTTACAAGGGGGACGAGAAGATCAAGACATTCATCTGGGATCTCATTACGCCCACGGAGGATGGAGAGGTGCAGAAGATCAGCAGGGATCATAGTGGCCTACACAATTTGGTGCCACGAGGTAGGAATGCCAAAGGTATGGTAAAAGATACATTCACGCACACTTCCCAACTGCTGCACGGACGTAGAGAGTTATCCAAAAAAAAGCCCACGAATAAACAACTCATCAAATAATTGTACAGAATATTCCTACACACTTCTATATATATCTACTATATATTACATGGGACTCTTTGGACTACCTAACTATTTTGTGTAAACTTCTGAAATTCTTCAATCTTTCTTGAAGCCCAAATATATGATCCAACGAATCTAATATAAGTCCACAATGTATCCTCCATTTATGTGTAGTGAGTATGCGCTATGATGGTTTTGGTCTGTGTACTACTGCCCCGCCTTCTACTTCCTGGCCCTCCTTTGGTGCCCTCCTATTATGTATAACTCAAACTTTAAATCAAAATCTCTCGACTTGGACCGCGACTTACTTTGAGTATTTGCACTCGTAACGACCTTTACTCGACGACTGACTAAGGAAAAAAGTGTGTGTATGTTTTGTTGCCATACGATTGTATGCCTTTTACCATATTCAAATCTTGTATTATTTGTACATATAAAATATATTCATCAACTAATATTTATATACATATATTGTAGAATACATGTTCTCATTAATCATTCATATTATAATTTAATTTATATTTTTAATTTACATTACATTGCTTATTGATATATCTTTGCAACTGTTTTGAGAAAATGTTAAAGGAATAACTGAGTACTATACTCAGTGCCTCATGTGAAGCCTAATTTTGAGAGCTTTTTGATACCATATAGGGACGTATAGGAACCGATAGGTAATAAGCTTCGACTTGGCGTCATCTGATGGTGCAGTCCAAATTTTCAATTGTATTCAAAGGTATACATCATTAGGATGTTATCATATAGGATGTGGAATTTATATATACGTACATAACATAACCATAAAGGAATCTCATAAATTATTGTTTAGGGTATTTTCTTCAATGTTGTTAATTTTCCGAAAGCAAAAGCTCATATATATCATCGATAAATCATTGATAAATTTCGATATAACCATAAAGGAAGCTCGGGAATAATCCATAATCTGTTGTTTTACAAGACATTTTATTTGTATTGTCTAATGCTGTTAGTTTTCTGAAAGAATAAGCACTATAAGCATCACAAACTCATCTATAAAAATTGTTAAATGACGATATACGTCTTGTTCGATAATTCCATTGATAATCCAACCCATTAAACGTTAGTTTTGAAAGTTGATCATATTTTATGCATTTAGTTAGATTTGACCTCTGCAAAGACACATCCCTAACATCGTTTAATCGAAGGTATCTTTTTTTGTTTGTTTTGTAGCTAACATTTAACATAAAAAAAAACCAAATCCATTGTAAAAAGTTAATTCATTAATTGCACAACAATCGAGTTGCCCTCAGGCGGATGAAAAACACGACTGAGGACAGCTCGAAGGACCCCAAGAAAATCCTCTAACATCATCTATGCAAATTTTTAACTTACAGGACGGAATGGAGGAAAGTCGAATAAGGAGTCCACTGGCAGCTCCACACCAGCACCGGGCACTGCCTCGGGCAGCAACAGTGGCAACACGACCCCCGCACACAAGTCGAGTGCTCTGGATGGAAGTGGAGACAAGGATGGACTCGGCGGTGGAGGAGTCAGTGCCAGTGCTGTGGCTGCAGCTGTTGCCACTCCCATGAGCATCCATGATCCAAATCACTGGAGCAAGAAGGAGAAGTACGATGCGGATGCCTATCTTGAAGGCGCCTACAAGAAGCATTTGGGCAGACACGCCAATAAGTGAGTCACGTGTGGAATCGAATTTGTGCAGTTAACACCGCCCCTCCGCTCGGAACAGCAGGATCAGCCTTTTACTAACACTCTCTATCCGTATTTTCCTTTCTCTTTTACCTCTCTTTCTCTTTAATTTGCGTTTTGTGTTTCGTTTATTCAATGTTCTCCTTCACAGGGTTTTACTGCGCGTACGAATGCTCTACTACATACAGCACGAGGTGATTGGTGAATTCGTTCAACAGATCAAGGATAACACTCCGATCAGGTAGGACTGGCGCTTTAGTCGAAACTCTCGCTCTTCTCTCAGATTTCATCATACATCTTGTTTGTTGTTGATTGATTGATTGATTGACTGACTGATTTCTGGAGCGTGTTACATAATTAATTAATTATTATTGAATTTTATTATTTGTATTCGTATAGAGAATTTATTTTTCTATTTATATACTAAAAATGCCAATTTGTCATCTGTTTTATTATCAAATTTCTTGTAAACTAGTTCGCTTGAACTTTTTAATCAGCTGATGAGTTAGCTATACTGCTGGAAAGTCCCCTTGTGGAACTCAGTTATGTTTCCTCCAACTGCATTCAAGTTCCAGCGAATTACAGCCCTGACTATTGCTCTATCTTAACCTCTCTCTACAGTCCTCTCTTTAACTGTAATAGCTCTCTCTTTGTCAATGTATGTTCGACGCTCGCTCTCGCTTGTCCATTAATGCTAACAAATTAACTGTAAACATTCTCACACAACTCTATATACGTATCTCTCTCATGTCTAACACACATTTCTATTAAGTACAGTACTGATCGGCTATGTGACAAATCTACTAATCAACACTTTCATCACTTTTATATGAATCGGTTATTTGCAAACGCTTTTGAAAATTTGTAATCGATAATTTTCAATATCAAAAAGCGTTCAAAAATCGAAATATGAGGGTACTTTACTAAACCTAATTGGAAACAATTAACGACACTTTGTAAAATTACTTAAATGTCTTGAAAAGTAAAAAAAAAATAATACTGAATTGTAATAAAAACATTCGAAATGCCGATTTTTGGCTCGATTTATTATACTTATCGATATTTCTTTCCGATAAACGATTAACCGATCAACTGTTTCGATGCACATTAAACGATGCACATAACCGATTTATATATACTGTATGTACAATATTTTCACACTTTCCACACACATTTTGTCAATTAATCTTTGGCGCATATTCGCCGTTCACTTCTTCCTATCGCTGTGTGTTTTTGTGTGTGTTTTTTATTGCTCGTCAACTCGAATTTGTTTAACCAACCGAAAAATATTTAATTGATTTCATTATGAATATCCGTACATAACCGTACGATACTACCGACAAAACTGCAGCAGTACGAAAGCCAAGCAGCAGCTGGCACTCCATATGGAAAGGTAATGTCCCCCGAAACCGCCATAAATCGATCGCCTATCGTTCGCTCTTTCGCACGCACGCACGCATCGCAACACGCTCGCTATCTCGCTCGCTCCTCCATCCAAGCAGGCGAATAGGGATATCCACGCTACAACTCCCTCTCTATCTCTCTTTCTCATATACTCCTCGTACAATCGTGCAGTCGTCCTCATCTACAAAACAAAACAAAAAATTTAACAAAATAAAATTTTTACATTTTATAATAATTAAATTTTTATATACTTTTTGTAATTGAAACAAAATTCCAAATTCCACAAAAAAGGCAAAAAAAAAAAACGAATAAGAAAATGTTGAAAAATGAAAGAGAATGAATTCTTAGAAAACCATTTTGAGTTTTGCTTTCGTATGGAATTTCAGTCGCATTTTGTAGTGGTAAAAATCTGTAGTGCAAATTGGCTATTAACAAATTATTATTTTTTTTTGTATATGTTTATTATTTTTCCTTAACCTTTTTGATTTTATTTTGTTTTATTTATCATACAAACCAACAAAAATACAACAAAAAAAATTATTTAACTTAAAACAATTGAAAAATTTTACTAAAAAACCGCATGTCTTTTTGCGCATTTCTCAAATCTTACGCTCTCCCTCCCTCCACTGTCGTATCGTATCAAACACACATTTGAATCGAAACGTTTATCGAACGCAATCGAATGTCTATCGAACCCGAACGAATGAATCATGTAGCGAGCTCCCCATTCGCCCGCCGCCAACGCCAGATCAAGTGCCATCCTCATGGTGGAATCCCATTTGTTGTGATAAGAGTCTATTGGTCGGAACCTACAAGCATGGCTGTGAAATGTATCGTCAAATGCGCGCCGATCCCAATCTGTGCTTTGTCACCCATGTGGGCGCCGGTGCCGGTGACGATTTGGCCGTCACGAATTTGCCGATGTAAGTGCTAAAAAAAAAAAAATTGAAACAAAAGTAGTTAGCATAGCACCATTCATAAATACCATTAAGTAATCCCCCCGCATAAGCCACATACTATACTAAAACTAGAGATAATCCCCCATATTACATGCTCAGACTCTGACCAGATGTAAACGAGAAGGATAAGGATGCAAAGAAAATGCTTAACTCATTCGAAACCATTCTACTCACACACAAAAGCATAATTCATTTAAAATACATTTCTTAAATTTCGTATATTACTGAATGCTTCAGTTTTGGGTTTTTTTTAAAATAAAATCAACGATTCTAAGGAGATTCTAAGGAACCAAAGTAGCCAAGAGATATGGGGTCTGGTCACCCATTTGCAATAGATATTTATAAAAAGTGTATAATTGTGATGTAATAAGATAGGTAAAATATACATCCCAGTGCTGTCACTGAACATTAGCATTCGTGAATATTTTCAAAACTGTATTGAAATTGCTACCCAGAAAGGTTTTTGATAGTAATATCGATTATTTTAAAATTAAGATTAAATTAAAGCATAGCATGGTCATACCAAACATGCGCTTTCCATCCTCCTGGTCACTCACGTGCACACACATTGACTCATTGTCGCATTGAAGCCATCCATTGGACATTCACTAAATGTGTGGGTGTGTGTGTGTGTGTGTGAGTGTGTCTCTTGAATTTTCTCTCAGTTTTTAAGCAAATCTTTATGTGGCATGTGCTTCCCGCCCCAAGATCAAAGTTTCTTATATGAATAGAATATACATAAATGTACACATATTCCTGTGTTCAATCTTTTAGTTATTTTATTAATCTTGTGTATGGTTTCTTGAACAGAATCGAAGATGATGCAAATTCTAAGCACGATGACGGCGATGAGGTCGACGATGATGGGACGACAACGACCAAAGATTCGGACTCCACAAAGTTGACGGGTGGCGACAACAAGGACTCGCTCGATCCGGAGCGTCCCAGTTCGTCGGGTAAGACCATCATCAGCAGCAGTAGCAGCAGCGGCGATGGAAACGGCACCGAAGCGGCCACCAAAGCTAAAGCTAAAGCGAATGCTAATGCCAGCAGTAACCTGGAATCGTCGTCGTCTGGCCCGACTGAGGGCAATGGCAGCGCCGTCGAGGCGACCACCGATCAGCAGCCAGCTGAAGCACTCCCAGAATCGGCAGACTCCCAGAATCAAGAAACGAAAAGCACAAAAGATAAGGCTAAGAGCGAGGTACCATCCGGTGAGGCGGTCGGAGCTTCCAGCTCAATCTCGGGCGGCACCACATCCTCCTCCTCCTCGACGCCTGAAGCTGACTCCAGTTCGGCGGAGGCAGGAGGAGATGCTGCTGCGAGTGGGGTCGAAGCGATGACTGTCGACTCCGGAGAAGTAACCAGCGCATTGGACACTGAAATGGAAGCTAAGACAAAGAACCAAAACAAAAGCAATGGCGAGGAGGCTTCTACGACAGCTGCTGCTGGAGGCACCGCCGAGGATGCCGCTGCCATTGCTCTGGCCGATGCTGCCGGCTCACCCGAATCATGCACTAACGCTACCACAAATATCACCACCACCACCACCACTACTACTACTACTACTTCCATAACCAATCCATCATCCAACACCACCACCACAACCACCTCAGCGTCTGCAGCGGCGACGGCCAATTCAAACACCGAAAATGCTAACTCCAACTCAAATTTAGGCCTGGACGAGGAGGAGAGTGTCGCCGGTAGTTATCCACCGACAGTGGCCGCTGTCGAGGATGCCACCACCATGTGGCCATCGATGCAGGATCTGAATACGCGGCTTCGACGCGTCATCACCGCTTACCAGCGCAACTACAAGAAGGAAGAGCTCAAGCAGCAGCAGAAGGCCAAGGTTAGTCCCCCCAAAATATTACTCCTTCGATCACAACCAAAACCCTATCATCTGTACCACCAATCCACTTCCTCTATTTCCTCATTTCCTTCATTTATATTCACGCACCTCACGTTCATTTTGTCACCTCTGTCGTCCAATCATTCAACGAAACTTGGGTTCGATCCAAGCCATAAATATGTACATATATTAAAAAAGTATTTGTGTTTGGGTCTGAGGTTATATATGGCATATTTGTATAATACTTGGCTTGTAATGTATATTTTACAAGAAATACAGTGCGTTTTGGAAACATAACTCGATTACATTAGATGCTCGATAAAATTTATTAATTCAATTGATTTTGATCGATTTACTTAAAATTAAAAGACTTTATTTCTTATTTCGTATTCGTGTTGAAAGTAAAAGCGAAATTAGTCTCAAAAAAGTTTCGTCAATTATCGAGCAATTCTATCGAATTTATAACAATACAAATAAACAGACTATCGACAGCAATCAAATTAAGCGGAATAATTAATTTGTTTTAAGATATTGGAGCGTTGACTCTATTGCAATTTATTATTCTTATATGTAGTTCCAAAACGTAATGTATTCCAAATCGTGAAAATTTTGCAATAAAAATGATTTGGACTTTGAACATTCTTGCCCACAAATTTCCTCACCTAACACCAAATAAGAACACCTTTTAGTAACTTTTTCTTTTGTTTTCTGTTTTTTACCCTACATTATTTTGGTTTAAATATTGTTTTTGTCGTAGTGTCCAGTGTTAAAACGTACGTAGTTTTGTTGCTTAGCTGTTGGCCCGTAGCTTAGTTTTTGCGAACCGTACACCGTAGTTTAAAAGTAGATCAGAACAGAACAGACGAAAGACAACTCAGATATGCACGAGACAGAAGACTGAAGCCCAAATCGAGAACCGAATCCTTAATCCCAAAACTAAAGAAATATTTAAACAGCCAACAGCTGATCAACAAAACTATGTACCAGCTGGAAGATGCATCTATACTGAAGGATGCATCAGTCCATTCCGTTATCAGACATCAATTCATTGCCCAAACCAAACGAAAAAAAATAAAACCAACCCAACATATCATCCAGAATAGTCTGATTTCTCATCTCTCTTTCATCTGTGACTCTCATGATTCTTGTTCTTGTTGTTAATTGAGTTCTTACCACAAAAACCCCAACCTCTCTCTCTATCTGTGTCTGTCCCTCTGCCCCACAGCTACAGGCATTGGTCTCCTCAACGCCACCTCTATCGGTGCCCACAACGCCCACCCTTCAGTCCATGCAAATGCAAATGCAGGGCGGTAGTGGCAACGCCGGCTCCTCGGTCGGTGGCTCCAATTCGAGTGGCATCGGCAGTGGGTCGAGCAGCCAGCTGCAACAGCAACTCGATCCGAGTGGACGCAGCCTTCAGGCACTGATGCAATCGCAGGGCGCCAGCACATCGGCAGCGGCGGCCGCTGCAGCAGCCGCAGCCGCTGGCGGCTCAGCGGGTGGATCGGGGTCGACGGGCGGCGGCCATGGAATGGGACAGCAGGGCGGCGGATCGACGGTTCCGGCGATGCCCACCGCCGCCGATATCAGCCTAATGTTGAGCATCCTCAACACCACCGACGTCAGCCAGTTGGCCAATTTGGATATCAATAAGCTGGCCATGTACCTCGTCAGCATGAACAATGTACGCTAGTGATGAGTACCACACATTATACTATATTTATTATACACCATATAACCCCGATATTCATTCAATCCACCCCTTTGCCCAACCAATCATCCCCCTACTCACCCACTCAATGACCGAAAACACTCCCTCTCTGATACTCTTTCGAGGGGTGTAATAGACCATGAACAGTCCTTAAACAGTCCTTCGCCTCCCCGCCCCGATGAAAGACTGTAGCCCACACACTGACACGAAACCAAACATCACGTCACGTCACACAACAAATGTCGTCGTTCCTATCTAACTTAACCCAATAACACCACTTGTACAAATTGAATACTAACCTGCATGAATCATCGAAATATTGAAAGATCTAACAACACCTACATAATTTTTTAACTTTGATTGGTTACTAACATGATTACATTCACATATATATTTTCTATTTAATATCAAACATATCCTAGCTTAAGAACATTTCAAATAATTCTATCGAGCAATGTCTATAAATACATATGTATTTATTTACAATGTATATCCATGTATATCTATATGTGAAGAGTTATCAATGAATATTAACATATGGGCATACATAGACCAGACATAGTAAACCACATACTATCAGAAGGAGGGCTTTAGATGTAGGTCTACGTCTAGAGTTGCAAGTTTTAGGTGTTGAATTATAATAAATTAGAACTGAAAGCTGAGCAGATATCTGAAGTCAGTAGATAAAAGAATTTATGAAAGTGAAAAAGCTTAACTCATTGATAAATAATAATCCTTAATCGAAATATTGATCGATTAAAATCAAAGATTATCACAATTAGATTGTTGAACTTCAGAACTTTTAAGATGTGAACTTCAAAGTTGGTAATTAGATAAAAAAAAAATTTCGACAATAAATCGAAGTGATCTCTTAATCACTCTAAATCCATCATGAATCGAAGTGAACCACATTTTGTTCTGCTCTCTCATATTGATGATATACTAAAAGACATAACATAGATTACTACTTTCAAATTTCCCAATAAGCAATTCGTTCTCTGCTTTTTATTTTTTAAAGCTAGATTGAACGATTTATCGATTCCTTAACATCGAATATGAACCCATAGTTCATGTTGAACAGAAGCGTGGGGATAATTTGTCCTATTTGGTTAAAATACATATTCCAAAGAGAGCATCATATTAGTTACTAAGCATTTCAAATCAGCGTTGCAAATTAGTCGGTAATTCGATTAATTAAATTGAAATGATTTTCTGTTTGCTCTCCTCTCGATACACAAATCCACCCACCCACACGTCAGAATATCGACAAATCCTTTTTGGGGGAATACTAAGGTTGGGAAACAGTGTGAAAAGCCAATCTAAAAAAATGGTGGAAATCTGACTAAATAAAAAGTAAATTTGACACCCACCCAACCCCACCACCCATCAACACCAGCTACTCTGAGGTGTAATGTGGTGAAGTGAGGTGTGGGTGGGCGCTGCCGGCGGTCTGTCACCTCCGTCTATGAATGCCTCTTTGTTTCTGTGTGTTTGTGTCTTTTGCCGAATGTATAAACAAAAGTAAACGATGACAAAAACCGAAGCCTCGAATGACTTCGGTGGAAAGGCCACCAAAAGCAGAGGTAGAGTAAAAGCAGCAGCAGAGGGAGAGCGCAAATACACTTATGCTTAATTTATGCAAAATAAAAGAAATACATACACTCGAAATTTGAACCCGAAATGGTGCACACGACCGATGCTCAGATTATGCTCGGGAGTCACAGTCGCTGCTCTCCGTTAGCACGCCACCCCACCCCACTCCACTCCCATCTCTCTCCTGCCCAACCAGCAGATGCTTCGCGAATGAGCAGCCAAAGCGGAGAAAATGTCAAACCACTTTGCACACAGCGAAACACCCTACCACCACCCCCGCATCATCATCAACCCATCCCATCCCACCCTCCGATGTTTCCTAGTTGTGTTGTGTTGTACAAACCGTTGCTTTCGTTTCCTTTTGGGGCTAGCAACTGCCAACAAACAGTGGAGCCCACCATGTATTGGCCGAAAGGCTTGGGTCAAATTATGAGCGCGGAGTCAATTGTACAACCTGACGCGACGGCTTACCACTGTAGTGGAGAGCAGCCGACACGATGGGCAACCACGACGACGACGACGACTACGACGACGGCGCCGAAGCTGCCGCCATTATCAAAAGGCAAAGCCAGCGAGCCATCAATCAAACCTACAACAAAACCAAGAACAACAGCACTAAGAGTGGGAAAAGAAGAAGAGCAGTCGCAGCCAGCAGCAAGAAGAGAAAATCCAGCTCTTGGTTATACCCTTGAGAAGGGTATAGTTGTTTTGAGCAGATGTTGGCAAAGCATGCAGAAAGTCTATCAGAGGAACAAATGTGACAATATATTCCTGTCTTTTGATCAAAATAGCAGAGAAAATATCGATCGAAAGATGAAGATAATCCTGCCGAAAAATGATAGTTCCATATGAACATACGCGTGGAAATTTAATCAACATCGAATGACCACATCATAGAAAGGATGTATCTAAAGGGTATCTTAAGCTTCGGCATCCGAAGCTAGCATTCCTTTCGTGCTGCTCTTATTCTTGCGATTCTATTGCTGTTGTTGTTCCTCTTGTTGTATTGACGAAGTGAAGTTCTTCTTTGGTGACGATGATGTTGCGGCGGCGTTGGTGGACGACGACGACGACGACGTCGTCGTCTGGTCGTTGAGTATTCGATATCGGGTGGTTTCAGCTGCCTGCCGCCTAGCTACACGTTTGGCATGGCTGTACTTACCGCCGCCACCGCCTGCCCCTGTATGTGTATTAGTTTTCCATGCGAGTGTCTCTCTCTCACTCTCTCTGTGTGCGAGTGTAATTTTACATTTTCTGGATTTATCCAATGTTTAATTTTTTTTTTTCGTGTGCGCCCACCCAAAAGGCAACGGATGAGGCTGTGCTACTCTCTTTTGCTCTCACGAGCTGAATTATTGAGAGGAATATGTGACTTGGGGTCTGGCTCTGGCTGGCTGCGTGTGCCTGTGTGTGTGTGGTGACGGTGACCTGTTCCTGTTTCTGTCTCCGTTTCTGTTTCTGTTCCGTTCCTGTTCTGCATGCCCCAGCCGCAGGCGTTTCAATAAAGCAGCCTAATTGTGCTCATTTGAGCTCCCATCTTCATCTCCCTTCCACTCGACGTTGCTTGGCTTTCGTTTCGTTATGCTTATTTTTCTTCGCAAGAGGCCTTTCTTCCTTCTCACACTGCAGCCGCAGCTTAAAAGCATTTTTTCTGATTCCTTTTTGCATTTGCAACGTGTATTTAGAACACAGGCATAGATCTCTTTCTCTCTCGCTCTCTTACTCTGTGCGTTTGAGTGTGTGTGTGTGTGCATGGCTTTGCGCTATTCTTTTTTGTGCCAATCTTTGGCTGGAAATGGGGCCCAGCCGAGCCCACCTTCGATTTGCTTGGATGCTTTTGTTGCTGACCGCCGACGCTGCAGCGCTGTTGCTGCGCTGTCGCTGTTGCTGCCATTCGATTTATATTTTATTAGCATTTGGCGCTGCTGCTGCAGTGCACAGTGGTGCACCATGAATATGTACCTAAAATGTGGAATTTGGAAAACTACTAGTTGGGTTTGATACAAAGCCGGGATTTCTGTATAAAAATTGTGTGCCATGGAAATCATTTGAAATCATGGAATACCCAAAACCTTATATAATTTTTGGAAATGTACAATTGTGTTGATCCCATCTAAGTATGTTTTCCCATTTTGTTCCACTGTGCGCGTGCGCATCACGTGTTGCTGTCGTCGCATCATCTCGTTTGAATGCAGCTGCTGCGTCGGCGCATTTTTCTCTTCTTTCACACCTGTCAGTCGTAAAACATTGGAAAAGTTGCCGTTGCCTCAGCCGCGGTACCCACTGTGCCGCATGGTCAGTCTGTCAGTCAGTCCATCAATACGTGTGTCTACCTGCTGCTGCTGCTTCTTTTCTGTTTCTCTCTCTTTCCGATTTAGTTTTTGTGTTACGCTTTAGTCAAATTTACGATAGAGAACATGCTTCAGACCCCTCCTCTCCCTCGCCCAGCGCTTCTCGCTGATCATGCATGCATGTGCATGTGTTAGTATGAGTAAGTGCATTTGCTGAAGATGTGTCGCCATTGCATCGATTGTGTGGTGATGGTGGTGGATATACAAATATACTTATACATATAAACGTGTGTGTATCTGTATATCTGTATCTTACGGATTGATTAATAATCTCGTTTCGTTTCGATTTTTTTTTTTGCTCTGGCTACGTGCTTATCGCACTTTAGTCATGTTTCCATCTTTCGCTTGAGTTTCTCATACTCTTTCTCTGAAAGAGACAGACTCGTGTGCATGTAGATTGCCCAAAGGTCGAATTAATTAAACAATTGCAAAATGCCAATAATCGAAGGGGAAGACAGGCACATGCACACTTGTCATATACGGACTTTAAGCGGAATATTTCCAAGAACAGTCACCATTCTTCTGGCACACACACCCATTGTACCTGCGGCTCTTAATCCATTTTCATGGATTCGCCTTTTTGCCTGATTCTCTCTGATTGGTTATTATTTCATTTTATCCCTTTTTCCGCCGAGTGTTGTCCTGCGTCTTCCTTCCCCCTCCCCACTCCCCACTCCCGTCATTACCGAACATCAGTCGCAGCCGTCGCTGGCTACCCCATTCCCCTCCTTCATTCTGTCCACCTTCTTCTCTTATGCTCGCTCTTTCGCTCTTTATTTCTCAACAGTGTTTTTGTGGTACATTTGTTTCATTGCTTTGGCGTTTCTTTTTTTTTTCTGCCGTGTGATATGTTTTATTCCCCCCGCGCATAGCTCCCCCTACCCGACCCCTTCCAGGGCACACGTGTATGTGTGCAGGCTCTGCCTTCTTTTGCTTACATTACACAGTTGACACAATGCGGTGCTTACTGCTGCTTTGCCTCCTCATTCTTCACTCGTCCATCCAGTGCACACTCACTCACTCCCACCTATGCTCTCTGGCTCTCTCTTGGTTTCTTCTCTCCCTCTGGCTTGGCGCTCTCGCTGCTTTCGGCTCTCACTCAGGCTTGCTATTGCTCTCTATCTCTCTCTCCCTCTCTCTCTCTCGTCCGCTCTGGCTGTTGCAAGTGACGCTTGCCGCTCATTCACCTCAGACTCAGACGACAGGCTTGTGTGCCTGCCTTCTGCCTGCCTGCGCTGCCCATCTCATTCATATTCACATTCACCCAAAACGGCGTTTGGCTTAATCTCACGATTGTTTGGTTTTTCTGCTCTGCTCTCCTCTCACTCAATACTTTCGAGTCTGGCTAGCTGCTAGCGGTGCGACGGCGGCGGCGACGGCAGCTCTCTGTATCTGTATCTGGCTCTTGGCTTGGTTTTGGCTGATTCGCATTCGATTTTAGCTGCCGCTGTCGCTGCTTCCGTGCGCGTACGCGCCTTGATGTGACTGTATGGTTGTTTATGTGCGCCTGTGTGTGTCTGTGTGTGAGAAGTGTTTCTTGTATTTGAGTCCGCAATGCGCTCGCTCATTATTTGTTTGAGCGCCGCGGTGTAAAGTTGTAAAAAGTCCAAGTGCTCGTCCGTGGAGGAACGGCGGTAAACGAGAACGAATCGGAACGCGAACGCAAAACTATTCTTGTCTCTGTCCTTTGCATATGTGTGTTCGTTCCCATAAGTGTGTGTGTGTGTGTGTGTGTGTGTGGTGTGCCTGTTTGTGGTAGAGAGAGAGATATAATAATCATAATAATCAAACGGAATGGAATAATGTAATTGACAACGTGCTCTCTTCATAGTCCATAGTTGTCTCCTCGAAACGAATCGAATGATAATTAGTGCTTAATTAAAATCAATAATCATGACGAGACCATAAAACCAAACAAAACCACATTCGATATCAATTCTCATTGTGATACTTGTAATATAGGCGGTGTCCATACAAAATGGAGGTTATTAAACCCATGGACTTTAGCAGCTTCTCTGCGTTTTGCGAGCATCTCAACAAATCTTCTGTGGCATCAGCAACATCGGCAGCATCAGCAGTGGCAACAACAACTACTACGGTTCCCTGTCTGAACAATGGAAATGGCATTTATTTGGAGGTAAAGCGGAATGACAATTTATTGCATGGGGCATCTCCTCTCTGTCTCGCTTAATTAGAAAGAGAATGCAAAGGGCAATGGAAACTGGGAACTGGTGGAAAAAAAAAGTAACGGAGCAAACAATAAATTTATGCCTATGGTGCTTTCAAGGAGTGGGTGGGAGGAGGGGAGGTCGGAGTCCAGTATGAAGGAGCATGTGTGTGGTAGCAGCAGTTTACATACATGCCAAAGAAGGAAGAAGACGCTTGCCGCTCTCACCTGCCAGCGCGGCTTGTGTGCCTGCCCTCCCCGCTCCCATCTCATCATATTCACTCACCAACCTTTGGCTTAATCTACGATTGTTGGTTTCCCTCTCTCCTCTCACTCATCTTGAGTCTGGCTAGCTGCTGCGGTGCCCCGCCGCAGCCTGTATCTGTATCTGGCTCTTGGCTTGGTTTTGGCTGATTCGCATTCGATTTTAGCTTACACTCACTCACACTCACTCACACTCACTTACACTCACTCACTAGCATATACACCTCCCCCTCTAGCACTAGCAATGCGCTCATTTAAATTCGTTTTTCCCCCGTTGGCCTCCCACTCCTACTCCATACTACCGCCTCTCTAGCGATTCTCGTACCGTACGGCCAGTTCCAAGTCAAAGTCGAAGTCAAGCCGCCATCGTTTTCGTTTCCCCACTAATAATCATAATCAATCGCTCGCACTTGTAGTATCGTGTAAATGCAGAAGACGATGACGGCGACGAGCGTCGACGACAGCGATATAACTTTGGAAGGGGGGGAGCAGTGTGTGTGTGCGCGCAAGCGAGATGCATATAGATAGGCGAAGAGGGTCTCCGAGAGTCTCTTTATCTGGCTTTGCGCTTTGTCGTTTGTTTTTGTTTGTCCCCCTTTTTGGATTTCGTTTCTCCTGTTCATTCGTTGGCGGCTGCCTCTGCCAAGGAGTATGGAATGGATACGTGGGGAGGGAGAATGGATAGGTGGGTGGTTGTGGGCTGGGTATGGGGAATTTGTTGTAGTAAAAAAGCCGTTAGCTGTATAAACAGAAACAGGCGAACAGGGTTGCCAGCCTGTGCGCCATACTTGGCATCCTTTTGGAGCAGCAGCAGCAGCAGAACCAGAAGGAGACGAGACCCAAACACAAACACAAACATATGTACATAAACTATCAAACAAACACTTGCACATGCAAAGACGAAACCACAGTGGAACTTGGCTAAGAAGAAACATGAACAAATTATAGAACAATACAATGCGCAACTTGTATAAAAGAATATTGGATAGGATTGTTTATATTAAAATCTGTATAAGAAAATATCGAATTAGGTGCCTGTAGGCGCTGCAAGAATTTCAATGATTAGAAATTTAATAATTGCACAAACTAGAATTTTCAAGAGTAGTCGTGGAAATACTTTTAAAATACAGTAACCTTTTGCTCCCTCACTTTATTTCTGGCCAAACATCAGAAGGTCGTCTTGAGGGGGCTCCACTGTAACGCCTAGCTGTGTTTTGGCTTGCATTTAGTTGTGGCTTTGATTTCACATTAGTTGAGATGGGCACACACTTACCAGCCATCCAACCCGCCAGCAGCCGAAGCAGCAACAACCTGGCAACACTTGCCCAGTGCTCTCCCTTACGACATTTGTATACGTAGTTTCTCGTTCCGGTGTCTGTTAAGGAGTGAGGAGTAGGGGAGACATTCTTCTTTGGACCTGGGGAGAAACAGCGGCAGGAGGAGCCCCTTTTGCAATTTTGTGTATTGCGATGCTACTGACTTTTCCTGGGCACCCATTATTATCATAACTAACTAGGAGAAGACGACACGTACACGTATACGTATATGAATATGTATTGTATAGAGGAGACCCTCCTCTTGAAAGTGTGTGTGTGTGTGTGCTGGAGAGTCGTAGTCAGTCGCTCCTTTACGGATTGTGTGCGGCGGCGGCAGGCAGCCCCGTGCAATTGGTCTCGCAGGATTCATTTGTTTGTCTCTGGGTGTGTGTGTGTGTGCGCGCCATTGCTGCTTCTTTGCCTCGTGCTCATGGTTGTGTCGCCTTTGGCCCTGTGCCCTCTGTCCTCTGTCCTCGCGCTGCCCCGTTAGAGCCGAGCAGAGCCAAAGCCAAAGCGGAGCGTTATTAGGGGTGTAAAATGGATTTTTTACTTTTATTATTATGATTTTATTGTATTTCCAGTTTCAGTTTGTTCGTATTTAGCCGTCGTCGCACGTTCTCATTCTCTCTCTTCCATTGTCTCTGTGTTCTGTTCGGTTCGGTTCTGTTCTGCTGCTCTCTGTTGTGTGCATTCTCCTCTCTCTTATTTTCATTTTCTGCCTTTCGCTTTTGGGCTTGCCATTCGCATTTTGTTTTTGCCTTTTCGCAAAAATTGTAATTCAAAAGCCAGGCGGCAGTCACTGAAGGGAGGGAAGGGATACACCGAAGGGGTATAGATGATGGTGATGAGTGTCTGCCTGAGCCCAGGAAGGAACACCCTAGACACCACCAACAGCAGTAGCAGCAGCAGCACCACCACCACCAGTAGAAACAGCACCCACCCCTCTGTGGGTCGTCTCGCATTACGTGAGGGGCGGCGGCGGCGGTGAAAAGAAGGGTTCTGTTCGGTTCGGTTCCTGGTGGACGCCGACGATTTTTAATTCCTTTTTCTTCTTTTGCTTTCGAAATTGTGTAAATATTCGTAATGAATTTGCACTTGCAAAATGTACATATCACATCCGGATGGATACGTCGTTGTTGGGTGGTGGGTGTTGGGGTGATGTGGAGGGGGATAGGGGTGCTGTTTCCAAGGGAGATGTGTGCGCGTGCGATAGAGGGAGGGGGTATAATAATTTATCCACTGCATGGCATACACGTTGCTCGACAACTGTGGGATAATTGCATGGAATTGTGGGTATTGTTTTTGGTATAGATAATACAACTACTCACTCATATATGTACATACATATGAGCCAATCTATTTTGATAAATACGACTTATTTTATTCCCATAATTGAGGGGAATGATTGAAATGGAATTACATACATAAATACGGTTGTGTTTAACTGTATTTATTGTACTTGAATTATATGGAAGGACATACATATGTATGTCTGTATGCCCGTATGTTCTTAGGGTGGAAACTATACATAAAAAAAGAACGCTTTTTCTTGAATTTACTAATTGTTTTCCGGAACAAAACGGATCCATGGTTAAGCAAAAAGGTTTCTCAACTTTGAAAACATATAATTCTGTTCTTTATCTGCTAGTATTGTCCTCACAAAATCCTCACTAAATATTCTCTTAAAAAAAACTATAGGGTTAAAGAGATTTATGTACATAGATTGCAAGGGAATTCCATTCCAATGAAACTGACGTGGAAAGAGCGAGAGAGTCGGGGACTAGAGACTAGACCGATATTGATCCCATATAATGCAGAGGAGAAATAAATGGAAAAAGTGATATGGAATGGTCCAGGTAAGGTGTTACATAGAGACGGAGAAAGAGGATGCCGTAAACAAGAGGAGATAATATATCCCGTTAGAGAGCAAAATCAAAAATAGTTGTGAAAAGCACATTTTAAATGTGAATGGGAATAGGAATAAATATCATCATATCAGAAGGTGTCTATAGATAAGCAATATCTTATCTTTGGTTTAAAACTCTAACAAATGAACTGGAATTTGCTTATGAGACGAGGGGCCTGGAAATGCCGTCTAATCTGTTGGCTGAGTCACGGAATGTGGTTAACAAAGTAAAATTACATCAGTTTCTTCCTCACGATCCCTACCACACTCCCCATATACAATATATGTATAAACTATGTAATTTATATCCCTCTTAAAGTGATTTCAATTGAACAATTTTTTCTTCGTTTTTTCCTCCTTTTAGAAAATGGAACGCCAGGGCAAAATGGAGATGGCGGCCAAGGAGCGCGAGGCCCAGCGACTGCAGCTTATTCCCAAAAAATGGAATCGCCGCGAGGAGTACGAGTTCCTGCGCGTTCTCACCGGCTACGGTGTGGATTTGCATTTGACCACACCCATGGGCGGATCAATGGGAGGCAGTGGCAGCAGCCTCACCCCCGACTGGACAAAATTCAAACAGATGGCCCATTTGGAGCGAAAGAGCGACGAAACTCTGACGGACTACTACAAGGTCTTTGTGGCCATGTGCAAGCGTCAGGCGGGGCTCAAGCTGAGCGAATCGGAGCGCGGACTGGAGGGCATCATCGAGGAGATCGAGAAGGAGCATGCTAAGCTCATACTGGACCGACTGGAGCTGCTATCGAAATTGCGCGAAGTGGCGCGCAATCCGCATCTGGAGGAGCGACTCAAGATGTGCGCCATGAATGCGGACACCCCCGACTGGTGGGAGCCCGGACGCCACGACAAGGAGCTGATTGCGGCAGTGCTTAAGCACGGACTCTATCGCTCGGAGACGTTCATCTTTAATGATCCCAACTTTAGCTTTTGCGAGTCGGAGAAGCGCTTCATCCGGGAGTTGGAGGCACAGATTCAGCGCACCATTAAGCTGGAGGCCTTCAATGCGGAGAAGGCGGAGAAGCTGGCCGCGGCAGAGAAGGCAGCAGCGGCAGAAGTAGCAGCAGCGTCGGCAGCGGCAACAGCAGCAGCAGCTGCAGCTGCTGTTAAGAACGAGGTGATCGACTTGGACGATGAACTGATGACCGATAAGAGTGTAATAAAAAGGGAGGCGACTCCTGCCACGACGCCCGTCAAAGATGAGGTCAAGGCGGAGGAGGAGAGCCCCGAGAAGAAGAAGGAAACACCTGAATCCCCGAAGGAAGCTTCCGCCAAGAAGAGCGAAGAGGAGGAGGCCGCGCTTGTTGCAGAGGCAACAGAAGATGCATCCAAAATCAAGGAAGAAGATGCAGTCAAGGCAGACTCCTCTCCAGTGAAAGAGCCTATCCTACCCGCCGCTGAGGAAAAGTCCAGCGAAGCGGAGAAGGATGCATCTGCTGCATCAGATGAGTCCAAATCCAGCGAAGATAAAATGGAAGGGGATGAGCCGATAGCCGAAAATGGGGAGGAGAAGGATGATGCTACGACGACGACATCACCAGAAGTGGAGGCAGAGGATGCATCCACAGAGTCTGCATCAGCGGAGGAGAAAAAGTCGAAAGCCAGCGATGAGGCCAAGGAAAAAACCGAATCCGTGGAAGATGAAACCTCCAAAATGGAGATTGACGATGGAGAAGTGGTTGCCACAGAGGAGAGGGAGAAGGAGAAGTCTGCGGCAGTGGAATCATCAGCAGAGAAGGAGCTCTCCACCGAAAAGGATGAACAAACCTCCGTTGTAGAACCAAAAGGTGATAAGTCTCCCTCCAAGGACAAAACTGAGGAGAAAGATAAAGACAAAGAGGAGAAGAAGGCGAAGGCACCTTCCGAAGAGGCAGAAGCTTCAGTGGAGAAAACGCCAACGCCAGTGGATGCAGAGGCAGAACTTACTGTCACACCCCCGAAAAAGGCGACAGAGAAGCCACCAAGTGAAGAGGAAATCCTGGATCTGGTTGCTGCCGGTCCACCCACCGATCCCGACGACGATGAGGTGATGAAGGAGAAGGAGAAGGCCGTCGAGGAGGAGTGCAAGAAGCAAGCCGCCGAGCTGAAGGCCCGCTTCCCCGATCTCGAGGTCATCCAACCAGCCACCGTGAAGCAGCAGAAGCTCGAGAAACCGAAGCTGGAGATGTGCATGATTCGCTGGTTCAAGGACTTCGCATTGGAGCGACGCATCGCCCACATCGTCACGTGTGTGGAGGCCAACAAGTGGCCGGTGGACAGCAAGTACAGTGCCTTTGCCAGCTGCAAGGGTGCCACCGATCTGAATATCGCCCTGCACGAGTCGATACCCCATCTGATGAACAGCGTGGAGCGACGCTCGACCACACCCGATGTGATCACCATCACGACGGATCAGGGCGTCACGAAGCATCTGCAGGCATCGCAAATGCAGCAGGTGGCTGCCAGCGGCAGCAGCAGCAACAACAACAGCTCCTCCGCGGGAGGACAACTCTCATCGGGAATGGGATCGGGATCAGGATCCCTGAAGCAATCGACGGCGACCACGCTGCCAGGTCTCGATGCCAATAGCATCAATGCGGCGGTGGCTGCCGCTGTGGCCGCTGCAGCGGCTGGTGGGAATCCCACATCGCTGTCATCCCTGCTGCCAGGCATGTCCCTGAGTGCAGCAACCGCATCCTCGGGGTCTAGCAGTGTCGGTGGGGGCTTGAGCGTCCCCAGTGGCATGTCCTCCAGTGCTGGCAAGAAGCGCAAGCGTCACATTGCCATCGATGTGGAGACGGAGCGGGCGAAACTGCACGCCCTGCTCAACAGCTCAACAAGTAAGTCGAAGTCCTGGTGGGACTATGATTATCCTTACATTCTCTTATGTCCACATACTTATGCCGTTTCCACATTTCAGTGGCACCCAAAGATTGGGAGAGTGAAATAGCCAATATGGAGGCTTTGACAGGCACTGGCTCTGGACGTGGACGTGGCGGAAGCGGCGGATCCTCCTCGGCTGCCCTGAGTGGCATGCAGCCGCCGCCGGCGCATCAGCACACCTCCCTCTCGCGACAGCAATCGTCGGGACAATTTAGCAAGCCCGCTGTGCCGGCCATGAAGACGCCTCCACCATCCATGGGTGCGCCCATGGATCTGTCCTCAAGGTGAGAGTCGCGCACGGGCAGACAGACAGACAGTCGCATCAAAAGAAGAAATAACTAATTCAACCTTTGATTTCTCTTCCCCGTCTCCCTGCCCCTGCAGCAGTCTACCCAAAATGAACATGACGGAAATGCTCAAGTCAGCCTCTAGTGCGGGGGCCATCGATCTAAGCGAAGTGCAGGACTTTTCCATGCCATCGAAAAAGTCGAGTGTCCATGCTGCCCTCAGCAGCGCCTTCCCCTCGATGGGGGGCAGCAAGAGCAAACTGGATGATACGCTCAACAAATTAATGAAAAAGAATAATTGCGTAAGTCTTTGGCGATAGCAAAAAACCGTGAACCCGTCTTTGGCGTACACCATAAACCGTTAACAATAAATCCTATTTGTCTTTTTCTTTTTGCAGACCATTGAGGAGCCAGTTATTGGCAAAGAAAAGAAACGCAAGAAGCTGGATGAGATCGTTCTGGGTCTCTCGGCCGCCAAGGAGCAAAAGACCTTCCCGGATCCATCGTTGCCATCCTCGAAGAAGCCCCAGATTCCGCCGAGTGTCTCGGTGACGCCTGCCAATATGCAATCGTCGTCCAGCCAGCAGCAGCAATCGAATCAAAAACCCTTCACCATCACTGTTACCACAGTGCCCGGAAGTGAGTTTGAGTCTCTGCGCTTTGCTTTTTTACAAATTGGCCCCCAGCGGAAAGCACCGCCACCACACCCATAGAATCTCTCGACTAATCTCTCGATCTCTCTCTTTTTCTCTCCACTCGTCTTTACAGAGTCCAAGGGCGGATCATCAGGAGGAGGCGGCGCAAGCTCCTCGGGCAGCGGCAGCGGCGGCGGGGGCTTGAGCGCCCTGCAGAACATGGCCATGGGCGGACTGTCGTCAAAGGACAGCCTGAATGCCTTGCTCGCACAGACCATGGCCACCGATCCGCAGACGTTCCTCAAGCAGCAGCAGAAGATGATGCAATTCCTGCCCCCTGCCCAGCGCAAGGCCTACGAGAACATGCTCGCCGAAATGGAGCAGGCGATGAAGCTCAGCTCCAAGTATTCCAATTCCCCCCACGACACCAAGGTCAACAAGTGGCTCTCGGACATGACCAGTCCACTGAGCGATCAGCTAAGCATTGACTATGTTGGCGGTGGCGGCGGAGTCGGCAGCAGCGGAGCTGGTGGCTCCTCCTCAAATAGTCGCCGCTCCAATCGAGGCGGCGGCAGTTCCCAGCAATCTGCAAGTGCGGCACAGCTCCAAAAGCAGCAGCAGCAACAACAACAGCAGCAGCAACAACAGCAGCAGCAGCAACAACAACAGCAGCAGCAGCAGCAACAACAACAACAACAACAACAGCAGCAACAACAGCAGTCGATGGCAGGGCCACAGAACCTCACGGGAGAGGAGCCAGTGCCAGTGATTAACAAGCAAACGGGCAAGCGTCTGGGTGGCAACAAGGCACCGCAACTGAAGCGATTAATGCAATGGTAAGAGCTCGTAGATCTCCAAAAATATTGCTGTTTGGCATACGAAATTACTCTAAAAGAGGAGCACGTTCCTCGACCTAAAGAGGAATATGCTAGTAGCCTTTAATCCCTCGAGACTTTTGTTTTTGTATCATTCGCAACGAATGTAGCCTCTCGATTATGGGAAATTTCGTTAGTCATTCAACGAACGTTTGCTCTCTCTCTGATGATCTTACGTTCTCTCTATTTTGATAACCAATTAATCGTCGCATCTTCTCATCCATAGGCTCACGGAGAATCCCAACTATGAGGTGGATCCCAAATGGCTCGAGCAAATGCAGAATCCCATGTCTGCTCCCTCGCCAAAGCCCAGCTCAATGGACAGCTATGGCTCGCCGGCTGTGAAGTCGCATGGCGGACGACCCTCTTCGAATTCCAGCAATGCCTCTTCGTCGTCCCACAACCAACAGCAGCAACAGCAGCAACAACAACAGCAGCAGCAGAGTGCCGCTCAATCGCCGGCTGGCAATCAATCGAGCCAATCAAAGAAGTCGTCGCGTCAACAGTCGGCTGCGGCGGCTGCCTTGGATCAGGCGGCGTTGCAGTTCAGCTCGCTGGCGGGACTCAATCCCAGTTTGTTGGCCAATCTGCCGGGACTGGGAGGCTTCGATCCGAAGAATCCGCTGGCGGCCTTTGACCCCAAGAATCCGCTGCTCTCGATGCCCTTCGGGGGCATGCCTGGAATGGCGAATCTCCCCGGATTGGGCAATCTAAACAACATGAATCTGTTTGCCAGCCTCGCGGGCATGGGAGGATTGGGTAATCTGGCGGGAATGGACGCCAATTCGCTGGCTGCGCTCATGGCTGCTGCTGGGCCAACGCTGGGGGGCCTCACAGGCGCCTCGGGCGGGGGTTCCGGCAAGAGTCAGTCGCAGGTCGGCGGTGGTGGCAACTCATCCTCCTCGTCCAGCAAGAAGAAACAACAGCAGCAGAGCGAGGCGGCACAACTGGCGGCCGCGGCAGCAGCCGCTGCAGCAGTGAATGCTGGCGGTGGCTCATCCGGTGGCGGAGGACAAGGAGGCAAGAATGCGGCAGCATCGCAGGCCTCCCAATTGGCCGCCGGCTTTCCGTTCCTCTTCCCCAATCCGTCGCTGCTGTACCCGCCCATGGGGCTGGGTGGCCTCAATCCCTACTCCCTGGGATCGAGTGGCCTCGGCTCGGCCTACGACCAGCTGGCCCAGCAGTACAACCTGCTGAACGGAGTGGCGGCCACCTCGTCGGCGGCCAACACCTCCTCGACGCAGTCCAAGTCTCACCAGTCGCAGTCCAAGTCGAGCAATTCTCGCAACTCGGCGGCTGCGGCGAATGCCGCCGCCTCCAACTCGGCGGCCAATCTGATGAATGCGATGGCCAGCATGAGCGGTGCCCAGAGCGTGGCCAGCACCGTGACGACGCCGTCCAGCTCCAGTTCGGGACGCGGCAGGCAATCGAGCAGCCGCAATGCCCAGGCGACGCCCACCGCGGCGGACATGGCGCAGCTGAGCAGCCTCCTGATGCCTGGCGCGGATCCCCATCTGCTGGAGTCGCTCAGCCGGATGAGCAGCATGGATCTAGCCCAGGCCACGCGCCTGATGAGCTCCCTGGGTATGCCACCGCTGCCGGCGCCCTCGAGCAGTGGCAGTTCGAGTGCCAGCAGCAAGCGGGCGGCCGCTGCCGCCGCCAACGAAGCCTCCAATGCCGCAGCGCAGGCGGAGAAAATGGCTGCCAAGGAGCAGCAGAAGTGGTTCGAGAGCCTTGCACGTGGAGCCCTGCCCACGGATCTGGCCGCACTGCAGGCCTTCTCACAGGGCAAGATGCCCTCCTCGTCGTCCTCCTCGAACACGGGAGGCGGCAACTCCTCGTCCAGCAAGAGCTCCAAGTCCGCCTCGAATGCGGCAGCAGCTGCAGCAGCGGCGGCGGCAGCGGCAGCCGCACAACTGCCACAGATTCCGGGAATGTCGAGCGACTTTTCGCAGGCATTCCTCGCTGAGATGGCCGCCCAGGCGATGGCTGCGGCCGGCGGCTCCCTGCCATTGAGTGGACCCGGATCGTTGGCCTCACTCGCGGGTCTTACGGGAGGATCCCAGGGCAACAGCTCCTCCGGCGGCAACAGCAATTCCTCTGCGTCGAAGCGGCAGCGGGAACAGGACGCCTTCAAGCAACAGATGGACTACTACACCAAGACCCTGGGTCTGGGATCGGGCATATCGCTGATACCCACGTCCTCGTCGGGCGGCAGCTCCAGCAGTTCGGCCAATGCTGCGGCTGCTGCCTACGCCGCCGCCCTCGACGCGGAGCAGCAACACCACCAGCAACAACAACAGCAGCAGCAACAACATCAGCAGCAGCAGCAACAGAAGTCGAAGCGATCCCGCAGCGAGATGCATCCCACGAAGGAGGAGCTGGCCAATGCCGCCGCCGCTTTGGCTGCCGGACTGCCGCTGAATCTGGGGGCCAGCATGAGCAGCATTGAGAAGAGCCTGAGGGCGGGAAGCAGCTCCAGCAGCAGCTCCACACCAGCTCCCATGTCCGTGGAGCAGGACAAGGTGACCCTGACGCCCTTGAACTCTGGCGGTGGTGGAGGAGGATCCTCCTCATCGAATGCGGCAGCTGCAGGACTGGCGGCCAATCTGCCGTCGCAGACGACCATCACCATAGCACCGCCCATCAGCAGTGGAGCGAGTACGAGCAGCGAGCGCTCCGAACGCTCAGAGTCGCGCATTTCCCTGACCATCACGAATGCAGCGGACGCCGCCAAGCTGCCTCCGCCCTACGAGGAGGCCGACGAGCTGATCATTCAGCCGATACTCAAGAAGCCAGCGGCACCCGGAAGCAGTCACGGCGGCAGTGTCGAGGATCTCGATGCCGCTGGCAACACATCGGCCGCCAACCTCAGTGGGTCATCCTCATCATCGGCCGCCGCGGCGGCTGCAGCGGCTGCCGAAGAGAATCGCCGGTCTTCCAATCGCCTGAAGCGACCACGCTCCGGCAACGACCAGGCAGCCGCCATGGAACAGCCGCCCGAGAAGCGACGCGAACTACGGTCCACCCGGCATACGCGCCAGTCGGCGGATGCCGCCACGCTGAATCTATCGGCGGGCAGCGAATCGGAGGACCGGAACGAATGAGTATTGCGGAGATCCGAGCGAACGCGCTAGCAGGACGAAAGGGCCCCCGAAAGGGGGGCCATAACTAGACGACAAAACCCCAAGGAGACGAAAAAGAAAGTAATAATCAAGAAGAAGAAGAATATAAAGATAAATGATAAGAAGATAGAGAAGGAGAAGGAAAAGCAGAAGCAGACCAGAACCGGAGCAAAAGGCGATGCTGAAGAGATAGCCGCCGCCGCCTCGTCCGCTGATCAAAAAGCTCGATTGCGTCGCTCGCGCCGAAAATTGAATTCTAGGCTATCTGTTACCACTAGATCCCTTAAGCTTAAAGTTGTGTAAAGTATAAGGAAGCATATATATATTATATATAGAACGTAGGAAGAATGAGATGAGAGCAACTGCTGCTGCAGTCGGAGGAAGACTGCTGGAGGATGACAACTGCTGCTGCTGCATGCTCTGGCTCTGTCCGGCAGTCGCGGACACTGCTGCAACACCGTCCGCACTGATGGTCAGAGCCAGAGCCTCAAAGAAATGGAACGATGGTGGCTGATTTGCTATGCGATATGCGGCGAATGCGAATGGTTCCCACCGATGGTGTGCTCCAACTGCTGCAAAATTTGGAACCCCAATCGGTGGAGGATCATTACGTGTGCGCCCGCAACAGTACAGCCACAGCCACAGCTACATCCACATCCCCGGCAGCATATACATAAATATCCATAATGTTACGAGTATATTAAAAAGCGCTTATAATTTAATTGTAACGAGAAGCAGAGTGCTGCTGCATGCTGCATGAAGATTATCCGTTATCCGTAAATTATTGCAACAAACACACGTAGCCGATAAGTCAAAAAGCCGATAAGCAGAGAAAGCAAAGCGCTGAAGGAATGTTTAGATCTTAGACCAGCGATACAGATCGATCCAAACACAACACATAATATGTATGTAGAATATGTAGATCTATACAGACTCCTCCACACTTGGGTTTCTCGCATTGCTGCGCTGTCCTCACACACATGAAAGTTTATACTATACATATAATAATGATGATGATGATACATACCTGTACATAATTTATGAACCCCCTACGAAATGGCTCTCGCATTGCTTAACGTTTTTAAGATTGTAAGACAGACACACCACACCGTGTATTCTCATACTGAATCATTTTCCATATTTTTTAACCGACCCCGCCACCGCCACCCATCACTATGTTGTATTGTACCGCCCGCCCTCTCTCTGTACCGTCAATCTTGTGTCTCTTGTCCTGCGTGTAATTTGTATAATTATTTTAAATCGTGTAATTAGTGAAAGGAATCCATGCCTAGATTATAATTTTAAATTTGTAATTTGTATGTTTTTTTAAACGCAATTTTGTGTGTCGTGTGTCCCCAACAAGATCCTATGCGATCCGATCCCCATCTGATCAGGCGCTTAACTAAAAACAAAACAAAAGGATGAAAGAAAGAAAAAACTAGAATGAACAATGTTTATTGAAAAAAAATAGAATTTTTTAATTAAATCAATTTTAATGTAATTGACGGATATGAGAATGTGGCTAAGCGCCGCGACACGCGCCTGCGCAAGAATGATACATGAAGAATTATATGAAATTATTTTGTTCGCACTCCACTGAACAATCCATTCAGACCAGACAGCAAGAAAGAGAAGAACGGAAGCGGATCAGAGCAGAGCAGAGCAGATCAAGCAACCAGCATAATATAGTACATATATGTATGTATGGCATACTTAATTGTAAGTACGAGTATAAATCTTAATTAAAGGTATAAATAATATAACAGCAGAACAACAAAATCAACAGCAACTACAGCAACAAGTAACAACCAAGCATCAACTATTGATATTGATGATAAATCAAATAAACATATAAAAAATAAATTTCAAAAATTACAACAAACTGTGTTTTCACTGTATAAAAGGTTGCTTTAACATACTTGGGACAGTCGATCTTAACGTCTGGCAAAGTATGCATGAATATAAATAATGAATTTAGTAGGTAAGGGAGAGGGCCCGGTTGTGGACATCGTTGGGTTTTTGCCTCATAACTTTTGACCAATTGCATTTTATACAAACATATGTGTACCAATTTAAAGATAAAGGTATTAGCCAACTATCAGTGAAGAATTGATTCCTTCATTCACACACATTTTATCAACAATTTAGTGAGTTACCTTTTTTTGATTAAAAGAAATATAGGCCCAGTTGTGGACCAACCTGAAAAATCCGCTTAAAATTAAAAAATATGAAAGAAAGAAAGAGTCGCATTGCTTGCATGTGGATGATGCAAAAATCCTCATCTTCGTCCGAAAGAGTGTTGGTACGCTTAGCTGTTGGTTTGGCTTTGCTGGTTTGATGCCTTTTGTCCACGCTTTTTCTTGGCAGAAACAGATGCCTGGCTTTTTTTTTAGCTTCGAATCTTTTCTATCTGCTTTATCTTTCAAAGAAGCAGTGCAATCTGGTGAAGTAAGCACGGAGATTTCCGTGCTTTGGTGTATCCGCTTGCAGAGGAAAAATTTCCTCAACAAGTGATAGGCAGCTCGTTGAAGATGCACAGTGGTTTAAATATTATTATTTTGTGCAACATTAGCAGAAGCAACGATATTATGCAGTTTCTCAACCAAATATACGCATTAAATACACGCAAAAAAAAAACAGGGTGTCCACAACAGGTATCATGTCGTGTGTCACAACCGGGCCTACGAGTAATAGACAATTTCCAAAAGACCAACAAAATATGTTGTGCATATGGTTAAAACGAAAATAATTCACAAACTACAATGACCACACTACATAGAAAACGAAACACAAAAATTGTTTGGCTAAATTTACATCCATTTTTTTCGCACTTCAAAAATAATAAAATTTATATAAAATGCTCACAGCATCCAGACCAAAGCAGCTGTTTGTTTCGGTATTAGACTAATACTATTAGTACAAAAACTGCGTATTGTTAGTGAATATGACTCCCATTACTCAGATCAGTAGCATCTGCTTGCTGTCAAAGTTTTTGGGGGTGCGTCACAGCTAGTACCTGGCCCTCTCCCTTAAATACAAAGTTAAGGTACCAAGAAATTGTCTAAAAGTGGTGGTGTAATATTTTAAACAAAACCAAAAACATTACAATAAACAATAAACCCGTAACAAATCATTTTTCGGCCGTCTGTAAAAGGCTAGCAGGTCTTGCTCAGCGGTCTGTGGGTTCGATCACTAACCATACAGTATGGTTAGTGGTTCGATGCAACAAATTTAATACGTTGCCTCGGCGACAGTTGAGTGTTAAGTTAGTGTTGAGTGTTGAATAATTCACAATTTCACAAGTATCGTATCATTATTCAGAATTGTGGTTCCACACAAACCAACAACAAAACCAGCCTCCAAAGTGTCCTAAACGATGTAATTTCAGACCCAAGGTAAAAATAGAAACGGTTGCCTTACAAAAAAAATCAGAATTCGCACAAAAAAATTAAACGAAAGGGAATGTTGTGAGCCACTTCTGTGGCCGCAGTTCTACTTACAGACATGGCTATATCGACTCAACTATTGATGCTTATCAAGAATATTTATACCTTATAGTGTCGGAAAAGTTTCGTTCTCTGCCTTCAGTTTTACCACAAATCTAATCTACCCCTTAGCTTTTTGGGTACGGGCAAAAACTCATTCAAAAATCGCCAAAATGATTGTATTTTTTTTTTTATTTATTGTTCATAAGTTCATATATTTCTATCACTAACAGTGCCATCTTTTTCCATAAGGTGTCCATCTGGACTCACCAATCTTTTACAGTTAAGCCTAGTAGAATACAACCGTGAAGTATAATCAAAATGAGCCAGCAAGAAACAAAAAACAGAAAACAGTTTTGGCGTGACCATTGCATTTTGAGAATCGAAGATGTGTGAAGATACTCGAAAATGGCCATCGCGAAGCATTTACCATGTTGCTGGCTGCTTTCTAGTAATTATGCCGACTGTCAGTCTGGATCTTTCCGATCCTGGGAAACAAGGACTTTCGTAAAATACTGGATCTAGCTCTTCACGATCTTAGAAAAGTTGGTGCTTCGCCGATCCCATTTTCCCCTAGCTACCGCTCCTAAAATTTGGCTCGGCAAATCATTAAAATACTGCATAGTCGTATAGCCTTCTCTCCAAGTTGCGATAGTTTTAAAATTTAAATGTATTGCATAATGCATTTTCATGTATTTACATATGTATTTTCACAGTAATTGAGTAAACTTAGAAGAGGGCAACAAAAGTAGCAGCTTCTGCGTGTTGAATTTTGATCAAATGAAAACGAACAACCCAAGAGTTCGAGGCGCGAGCCAGGTCCTATCTACTCAATCGTAATTAAAAACATTGTTTTGGTATACTTATTGGGGATTAATTGCTCTAGCCAATATGTGGGGTATGGGGCATGGGGCATGGGGTGATAGGGTGGGGGGTGATTGGAAAGAACTTACAATAAATACAAAACGTACAAATATGTATAATATACAATATATAAATCTGTGTATCAGCAGTTAAAGCACGTCGCTTCGCTTCGATGCGGTAGTAAACTTTGAGTCTTAAAGTCTAAGATAATTTGCGCATGATTTTTGCTAGGGGCTTTTGGCTTGGCTTGGCCTGGCCTGGTTTCCTTCCAGTTGCGATCCAAGTTAGTGGTATGTCAGGAAGAGGGAACGTTCGCAGGCCTCCTCCAGAAGGGCCTGTTGCCGTTGCTTCTCCTCAGGCGTCGGCTCGGGTACCAGTTCATCGAAGCCATCATCCGAGTAGGCGGGCTCCTCGTCCATTGCTCCCTCCGGCTCCTCTCCAGCAACAGGCGGCAGTAGAGGCTCTCCAATGATGAGGCGAATATCGTTGGGCAGCGTTTCGGATGCCTTCAGCTGCAGATAGATGGCTTCGGCAATTTCCAGGGTTCGTTGCACGTCAATGTGGCCAGACAGCTCGTTGACATGTTTCAGTATTTCAGTGAATTCGTACTGACTCTCGATGATCACATTTGTCTCCTGATCCAGGATGGCCACGGAGAAGAGCAAGTGAAAGTTGGGACACGGCAGACGTGTCCAGAGGCACTCCCACAATTTGAGCACATCCTCGTTGCTCAGCTCCCGCTTGTACCACACAAGCAGCCACCTAAAGCAAAAGTACATATTGTCCGAGTCATGGCTGCGCATGTAGTCAAATAATGGCGCATTGGCAAATTCGATGAGGCGCCGCAGCTGAGCAAACTGGTTCTTCATGCCTGCCTGGTCCATGTCGAAGTTGGTGAATACCATGTCCATGAACCCCACGAAGCACCAGAAGGCATCCACCTCGTCGACCTGAATCTCGAGAATGGGTGCCAGCAAGTCCGACATTCCTTGGACATAGCCAAGATCGAAGTTGTACATTACGTATGTCATGAGAATGCCCTGCAGCAGGGCCAGGTTGGGATTGTCCTCTCCGGCAAAGAACTGAAGCGAGCGATCGGTGCGTTTCACATCTTTCTCGATTTGGCACTTGCGTTCACGATAGCCACAAAAGTTTGCCTCCTGTGCTGTGGTCATTGCCAGCCATTGCGCCTTCATGTTGTAGTACTCCAGCGACTTCAGTTTGCGCCTCTCCATTCGCTCCGCTTCGGTGTCGGACCAATGATAGTATTTCAGCAAGTATTTCCACGCCTCGGACCGCAGCCCGTGGGATATGCCACCACGAAACACGATCTCTTTGATCCGGTCGCTATCCGAGATGCGCCCATCTGGTGTCTGAAACTCCAGCCACTGCGCCTCCGTAAGGGGCAAGCCTGCAACAAACAAACAAGCAAAATAATCGCATTAAAGTCAAGGAGTTAAGGATGTTTCTGATCTTAAAACGAACCTCTTTCCACTCTCTGGCGATCGGGCAAGTTGTTGACAATTTTCTCATCCTGAGCATTGAGGTTCTCTAGCTCGCTGTCCGCCGGTGACTTATCCGCACTGCCTCCGCGGCTCTGGCTGTTGGATGAGCAGGCGCTGTTGGTGCTGCCACTCAATCCAATTATCTGATAGTTATCCGGCGAAGTCTGACGATCGCCACTCAGCAGAGTGCCCGGCCTCGACTTTGGCGAGCGCTGGAACGGCGGCTGCACATAGTCTGGAATGTTGCCGAGGAAGCCAGCCAGCTTGTTGGGTAGCCAGCTCTCCCGCGGCAAATGACTGGACTTGATATCGCCAATGTCCAGTTCCGCAAAGGTCTTTTTCAGCTTTTGATTCTCGGTGGTCAGGATGGCATATTCCTCGCCACCACGAGTCGCCTCGGAGCTCTCGATGAAGTGCAGATCCCGCATGGAGCGCACAAAAAGATCGGCGTTTCCGTGCTGAAAAAAGAACTCGCTGTGGACGCCGCCACCGGACTTGCGGATGAACCGTATGGTCTGACCGCGATGACGTACCTCGACCGCATCGAGCTCGTCCAGCACGACACGCATGACTCTCGCGCGGGCTGGAGTTCCATTGCCTGGTTCGCTGGGCTTTGTGTTGAAGGCGCGGCACTCGGAGGTGGTGCGGTTCCGCCCTGATATTCTGTCCACCAGTGCCCAGTCCCCCTGGTCCTGGCTGTCGTCGGCTATCATGATGCTATCGTTTGGCTGCCATTCCAGATACAGACGGCGGCGTGGCAGCTCCAACGATGTATACTCCACCAATGACAAGGAACCACTTGTGTTTAGGTCAGATATATGCTCGGCACTGGCCTTTTTCAGCAGCACCCCATCATGAGTAAACAGAATCTGCATAGCGGACAGAGCAGAGCATGCAGGCGAAAAGCGTAATAGAATATGTAAAAATGGATCATGAGTCAGTTGAACAATAAGAGAATACTTACGTTACCCGTTCCCTGGGGTGGCTGTGGAAGAGGCTCCTCCCCTGCCGACATTTGCGACTCGGTCAGGACACCTAACTGGATCTGCTGACAGCGGTCATAGCGCACAGATTCGTTCATAGCTGGCCGATTTTTCGTCTTAACTTTTAATTTTTTTTTCTTTGTTTTGATTAGAAAATGCGACGAACAGAGTGACCGCGGATCTATGCATAAAATATACCGTCTGACCCCCAAAAATACACCCCAAATATACCTTATCATTTAAAAAAAAAATACCGTAAATATACTGACGGACGCTACGATTTATTTCCTCAATTTTTATATTCGATTTAATACTACTAACTAGTTAGGACTTTAACCATTAAACATATCATTTTATCAGACAGATGAATCAATTTTCTACAATATGGCTTTTTTTAAAGATTAATTTTCTATATATCAACGAATTATTTGTGGAGTATGGCACTTTGTATACCCTATTGGAACTGGAACTGGCAAAATGTTCACAGAAACGAATATGTAAAATATTCGATTAAAAAAAATTTTGCCGATCGATATCGATATTGTGCATTGGTCAATTTTAAAATGCAAGTTTAACGGGCTTTTCTGGTATGTGGATAGGAAAGCGTTCGTGTACGTAAAACAAAATTTGCGTAAGAAAAACAAAAAGATTTCTTTAGAAAAAAATAATTTGTTTAAGAAAACAAAAAAAGTAATAATGCCCTTTTTCACCAAGACCACATTGCGATCTGATTTCTGTAGTAATAATTTCGCCTTCTTTCCTCTTGACTCCTGCTTCGTGCTTTTGAGTTTTGCATTTTGAGTCTTGCCTTTAACCTCTCCCCTTCTTGACATTTGTCTTTTGCGGTTCAACAAACTTTTAATTTTCTATACTTCTGGTGGGAGGATCAAATAACGGTTCGTTAGCGGAAATCATTGGCCGAAAAGGAACAATCTAAAAAAATAATCAGGTCGCTGGAGCCAACTTAGCCAATAGGCTGTGGGTTGTTGATTCCAAAAACAGCCCTACACAAATATGTATATAGATAATTTGTATATTTTTTCATTTGTGTAAAAGGTATATTTAGTCCTTCGGGCCTGGGTGAGCATTGTACGGGGCCCTTATAAAAAGCTTGCCCGTTTTCTTATATGGGCCATACCTTGCCATGATCCAGTCGATTGATCGTTTCGCGGGTATAGAAATTCAAATAAAAAAACAGAAGAAGAATTTTTCTGAGAGACAACAAAAGCCCACTCGCGTCCAACGATTCTGAGTCTCCCATTGTCTCCCAGAGCATAGAGCTTTATATGCTCACGATCGGCTTAATAAACTTCTTTACTAGGATTAGGAAGTGAACGACGATTAGTTGACCCCCCAAAGAAACTGTTATGAACGCGTGTTGGTAAAAACCACTTGCGACACACTTTATATTTCCTCACGTCATGGCCACCGACCGACTCATTCCATCCCATCGAATACTGCAGCAATGAAAATTATATCGAGAGCGAAAGTAAATTCGCATGCCGTGCACTGAGAATACTCTGTAGTCTTTGGACTGAGCCGACACGATGCTAATCGAATTCCGAAAGAACTGCGATGCGATCGTTTCAGAATAAGCGCATACGCTTATTTATTGTCGTGTTTTGTAAATAGATTGAAAGTGCCTGCTTCATTCGGGTGATAAGTGTTGAGTTCTTCGTTGGCCGAGAAGCATCTTCGGGGCCAGTTTTGAAAACTTGTGAGAGCGTTCAGTTCGCGCCAGTACGTCCAACGAGCGATACATTTGACCATTCGTCGGATTCAGATTCTCAAATAGAACACAATTAAAAAAAATTCAAATTGCAAACTTACAGGTGGGTGCAGATACTGACACTATTCGCAAAACAAATCAGATGATGCGTGGAAGCTCCAAATGCACCTCAATTTGTGTCCAGTCCAACTAAAATGGTTGGTGTTAAAATTCGGTTGAAAAACAAGCCATTGGGTGCTATAGTAGGATTATATAATAAATTACCTGAGAGTGTCAACAAAACTGCAAATGCATCTGGATATCGGATATCCCCAGCATGTCTGCATTTCTTTTCCCCACACGTTTACACGCAAAATAGAAGCATAATGTGCCATTTAAGTTTAGGGACTCGTAGATGAAAAATTAGCTGAGAATCGTAAACATTATGGATCTCTATCCATTGTCACACTCAATAGCGTAGAGGTATAAATATACCTATTTATATACATATGTATGTATGTATGCACAGTTTGGTTTGTGGAAAAACATGATTCGTTTTATTAATGAATTTCTCAACTGAGATGCGAGACAAAACTGTGACCTGCGAGAATCTGTAAACATGAGAACAAATCTTCAGGGGCTATGGGAGACCCTTAACATACTACATTTTGATTGCAGGGAAATCTTTCTCTTTCTCTCGGTGATATCCAACGCCAATTCTCTCACCCTCGGGTGAACCAACTGATCTTTCTATCCTCTCTCTTTGACAAAGCCAAAATATTTGTTTCGTTTCGTTAATTTGAGAGAACAAAAAAAACGTAAGAAAAACAGCAACAGAGCCAAAAAACATGAAAATTCGTCGGGTCGTCCAGAAATAGCGCCACCCACCGAAAGTTTTGAAATTGAATTGACTTACAGAGTATTTTTAAATGATTGGCTTTATTATCGTTAGCAATGGCCTGCCAGATCGTTCATTCGTGTTCTCTCCACTTGCAGAGTGCCAGTGCCATGGAGAAATCATCGTCTTCGCGACCCAAACGCAATCGTCGCCACAGCAGGTATGTGATTTGATCCAACTTTGATTTGAAACACCTGATATAATGGCCTTTGCAGACGAGCCTGGCCACCAGAGGATGAACTGCAGCAGCCGATGCGAGCCGCCAAGCGTTTGTTCACACCAGACATTAAGCGCATGCTGAAGGATTGGCTAATCCGGCGGCGGGAGAATCCCTATCCCAGCAGGGAGGAGAAGAAGCAGCTGGCAGGAGAGACTGGCCTCACGTACACCCAGATCTGCAATTGGTTTGCCAACTGGCGGCGGAAGCTGAAGAACTCGGAGCGTGAGAAGGCCAAAAAGTCGTGGGGACATCTCATCAAGAACTACAACCACAATGCGAGGGGGAATGTCGAGCAGTTTAGCATCTCATCGGAGGACAGCATATGGGAGGAGGAGATGCGGCCTTGTGTGGGGGAAGATGACGATGGGGACTACGATGACGATGAACTGGAGCTGTCCAGCCACAGTACTGGCAGCGATGGCAACGCAAACAATGCCACCACAGCTGTGTACAAGCCAAACTTTTACGTGGAATCTGGGAACATGTCGGAGCACAGCAATCATCGCATTCCCATGTTGGCGGCCCAGTCCCCGGTGGGCAGACCAAAGTACAAGCACCAAATGATGGAGAAGTATCTGCGGGATAGCACTGCAGAGGACGAGGCGTCGGGGACCACGAGCACACAGCCAGCCACCGCCACCCAGCTCAACAAGTGGCTGGAGAGCGCAGCGAAATTCACGCCAGACCGAAACAACTATCACATCGAATGGAACACGAGCAGGTAAGAAGCACCACCACCTCCATCGGCAGATTGGTTTACTATTAAAGCTGAACTTTCAACTAGACAAAAATGTGGCAGTGGGCAGGGTCAGGGTCAGGAGCGAACTGCCCAAAGCCAAGTGATCTTCACCAGCGATGCCACGACCACGGCAGCGGCACGCGCTGATGGCTGGATGCTGCACCACAAGGACGAACTGGATGCCGCCGAGGCTCTGGCGAATCTCGCCTTCAACTGCAGACAGCGCTGGCATCACATGACAACGATCAGCTCCTGAGAGGCACCTGCACCGCATCTGCAGTTTCTGCACCCAAAACGCATCTGACGCCATCATTCCAGCAGAAGATTCAGGCCCGTTGGAAAAGTGCAATCTAGTCATAGTTAACATTTTTAGCTAGTTAGCTAGTTTAGTATGAAAGACAAATTAATCACTTTTCGCTTTTCTTGTTATTTAACAATTGTTATTACAAATATTATGACTCGTCCGCCGTCTCTGTGGTGGTATTGCCCTTGGCGTGCACGTCCAGGACCTGCACTAGATTGCCCTGATGCGTCTGCAGATGCTGGACTAGTTGGCCAGCTGCCAGGTTCAGGGTTTGGACGAGCTGGGCCTGGGCCCCCTGCAGACTCGGCATTTGCGCATAGGCCATCAGCTCGTTTCGGCTGAGCAGTGTCTTCTCCACAATGCCGCCCAGCAGCACCATCTGCGGCACTCTGCGTGTGATCTTCAGCAGTGGGGCAATCTGCTCCTGATTTGGGGAGAACACAATGCAGTGGTTGGAGTGAAAGAGCGGCATGATGGCCTCATACGGCGTGCCGGTCACGGCCTGGTCTATGATCTTGCGGCCGTACGACTTCAAATGCAGGTTCTGTTTATGCAGCTGGACGCGCACCCGAAAGATCTCGTCGGAGGTGATGGAGTTCAGGTGAAAGACGGCCACCAGCTGCGAGTGATTCAGCCAGTTTCGCACTTCCCGGGCAATGATCTCGTTGTAGGGATTCTCCAGCTGTTCCTTGGTGCGTTCTGCGCGGGTCTGGAAGCACGAGCGTGCCTTTGGCAGCTCCGGGTATTTGGGCTGTGTGACGGCAACAACACGAGCACGCTCATAATGCGGCTCCTTCGGACGCTGTATGTTGATTTTTCCACGAAAACGGAGGAACTGCAGCACCGGACTGCGTGTAGTAGTCAGGGGCAGACCTGTAATTGACAGAGAACAATATTTTAGCGGATTGTATAACAGCAACCAGCCAGACATTGAGTACTGCAACAAATGAGCCTGGTTATTTAATTGTAGACAGCGCTTACTTCTCTGCATCAAATTGGCCATTTCTTGATGTTGCTTTGGGACCTTAAATGGTATTCTATTTATATTTTATTCACAATTTAAAAATAAAAGTTTAATTCACTTGGTGGAACTATGAAGAAAGAAGAAGAATTTCTAGTGAGTGTAAGAAACGAGGGCGAAATGCTTGCCGTTGCAGCCACACATACAATGTCACACGCGGTGGGCAGAGAGCTCCAATTATTCACACCAGTATCTTTTATTATTCACAGTTCACATATTTAATTGTAATATTTACAATTTTTAATATTGTTGTGCGCCTGACCCTCATATATATACCAAAATATACTAAAGAAAAAACGAACTTAACCCACTTAAACCCCCCTCTATTTAAAAAATATACTATACTAATATACTACTGTATTAAATACCGACTACCGGTTGAAAATACCAAAATAACAAACAAATTAAACTATTCAATACTCGTGCTAAAATATATATAAGGATTGCAAACGTCCCGCATGCGAAGTCAGATTACATGGAGGTGGAAGGTGACTCCAGTGGGACGACCAGCGGATTCCTGAATATAAATATTCCTGAACTTCGGAACTTTTGGGCCGCGTAGGCACGGTGCAAAGATCAAGGATATCATATTGCGCCTTAATGACTTAATATTTACTGACTTATTATTAATTGTAGATATGTCACGATACCCGAGTTTTCGACTCGCTACTAAAAATTGGAGCAGTTGTAGAACCTAACGTCATAACCAGTTAATTCTAAAGACAGCAGCCGAGGATATTTCGAAATTCCAAAATCAAATCAGCGGAGTGGAGGGAGAATAGACAAACAACATCAAACCAACGTCATAATGCATAGGTATAGAATTTATTTAATTACAGTTATAACATTAACATCTATATATATTATGTATATATGTATGTATGTATAAGTTGCATTTCGCTAATGGGTTCGGTTCTGTTTTGGTATTCGCGGGCTGAGAGAGAGATAACGATTTATCTGAACAACCAACAACGCTATTGTGAGGGGGAGAGGTCGAAAATGTCTGGATCACGGGATCACGTCAATAGTTTGAAAGGAAAGGATAATATTGATGATAATAATAATAAGAAGAAGAAACCAAGTGTAAGAAATAAGTGTAATTTAATCGTTTTTCTTCAAATTAACTTAGGAAATAACTAAAAAGTGTCTTAAAATATACAACTTATACATAAACATATGTTGAACAGCGCTTCATCTCTGTTTGAAAATGTGTTATCTTTTATCTTTTACTTTCTGTTTATCTGCTTCTGTATGATCTCATCGCATCTCCTTCTCTGATCTCGATCGTTTAGTGTTTGTTTTTCTTTCGTATCATTAGTTGTGTTATATAATGTACAGTTTCTCTTTAGTTTAGTTTAGTTTTAAAACATACAACTAAATACGCGCTAAACACTAATTAAACTGTATTTACATTTCATATATCTGTTAGATTCTAAATAATTTAAATATTTTACAGTTGTGTTTTGTTTTCTTTCTTGTTTTTGTTTCATCTTTTTTTTGTTTTCTCGTTTTGTTTCTTCTTGTTTCATCTGTTTTTGTTGTCGTCACAATAATTTACAAGTGGGCGTGAAAACGTACGTTTAAGTTTAAGGAGTGTACAGAGAGGGTAGTACTATATAGTTTATTGTATAGTATATGGTGTCGTGGGTATGTTTAGGGTAGGGGGTGTTTGGGTCTGTGTATGTGTCAGCATTGGGCTTATGAGGGTATAAAGCGGGTCCCCCGCCCCACCCCCCAAACAATCATCTTACAAAGTTTCGCGCGCACAAACTAAATTAATATTGAAAAAATTGAAATATCAGAGAAAATAGGGACAACGGAACGGAACGCCTCGATTTAGATAGTTCAGTGTTTTAGTGTTGTGGCAGTGGTGGTGTTGTAATATAGTATCGACAAAGTATTCAAAACCAACAGAAATCAATGTTCAAAAAGACCCACGAGAGTCTGGTAGGACACCCCCCGTTGCAGGTTTTTCGGGTGTAAAATAAGATGGTGCTCTGGTGCAGAGCGGAGGAAATCCAACACAAAACTAGTCTCTCTCTAAACTTTAAAATATTTGGCTTAACACATATTCGTTTATAATTAAATACGCTCTATACGTGGCTATATACTCGTAATGTATGTATATGTGTGTATGTGTATGCTAATTTAATGTAATGTATACGTGTGTATGTAATCGTAGGAAAAAGCCTCTGGGCGCATCTTTAAACCTAATTGTGCTTCAAACAGCGTTGGCGACAGATCAGCCACAACAGATCAGGTAGGTTGGTTCTTGGGCGCTCGAATTGCTCGAATGGGTGGGTGCTTGGGTCTATGCCAGGCCTTTCTTCTACAGAGGGAAGGAAGGCCTTCCATGGAGCCAATGAAACCCAGTTGAAAAATCAACAACAAATTCTAGGACCATTCTGGCGGAAACTTTGTAAGATATGGAAAAGTGTTTTGGGTGGGGGGGGGGACCCTTAAAGTAGTCACCAATCGAAAAACTTAAACGTGTTAGGTAGAGAGGGGGGTATTTTGGGGTAATAGAATCGGATATTCATATTATGTATGGTATTGGTATGGTATGGTATGGGTAGTAGTATGCATAGTACAGTAAACAGTTATTATGTTTTAAGCTTTTTTTCGTTTAACATTTGCTTGTGTGTGTTGTTGTTGTGTGTGTGGGTATGTGTTTTTTCTTACGTTTTCTTTCATTTTAAATTAAGCAAAAAATAAAACTTTCTTTTCTTGAGATCAAACTTAACGATACTTTGCAAGCTTTTCTTTTCATTTTCATTTCTTTTTGTTTTGTTTTTTCTTTTCTTTTAAAGGATTAAATTAGGGGAAGGTTAAATAATTAAATTTAGACAAATATATATTCATCGTGTTTCGCTTTCGCTTTTTGCTTTTGCTTTTAAAGTGTTACAAGTGGGGTTGCTAAAGGGATCTTTTCGCATTTCGCTTTGTTTGAGTTCTGTTTTTGGACATTCTTCACTCTTCGTGCATTCTCTTTCCGCTAGAGATATTTGAATACATATTCTCTTCTCTTCTCGTCGTCTCTCTTGTCTTGCATTTATTTATTCAATAAAGTTTGCATGTGATTTCTGCTTCTTTAAGTTATTTTTTTGCTTTGCTTTGCTTTTTTAAACTTTTGCTTGTTTAATCGCTATTTAAAATTACTTAAAATACTAGAAGAGCGTAACTTGTTTTATTGGTTTTGTTGGTTGTTTGTTGTGTGTTGTAGTTGCCTGCTGCTATTCTTGCGGGTTTTTCTTTTGTCAAAGTCCGGGTAAAGTGTCGCATCCTTAGAGATTTACATAGTCAGGGTGGTCCGATAGTGCAGCCACTGTCCTTCCTGTACTGGATGTGTGCGCCTTAGACAGTGGCTATGACAATCAGGAGGTGGGCCAACTCGGCCACGCGATTCTTGAGATCCGGAGCGGCACGCTCCAGGTTCTCGTTGGCGAAATCGCAGGCCGGGAAGATGTGCACCACGTAGGCGGCCTGTTCACTGCCCGGTATGGGTATGTTGACAATGCCTGCGGCCATTTTCTGTTGCAGATAGGTGATGAATCCGGTCTGTAGGTTCCTCGAGTGCTGCAGCACATCGGCATGGTCTCGGCCGCATGGCAGCGCCAGCAACATGCAGTGCTCCTTGTCAACCTGTTCATGGGAAGGACATTCGATTATCACCTGTATCATCTGATTACCACCCAGAGGTGAGAGTGGACTTACCTGCATCTTCTTGGCCACTCCCTCCAGCTGCGTCTGCTCCAAGCGCATACGCTGGGCAATCCTCAACAGCGGCGTGCTGCTCTCCGCCAGACTCGGCAGCGAGGCACGCGCCACATTCGGATTGCCGTGCACGAAGTGCATTTGAACGGCAGCCTGATCCGTTTTCAGGGCCAGCAGTCCCTGCCACATCACGGGATAGCGTTGCAGCAGTGTCACGAGCGAGTCACCCGGCGGCGGGGCCATTGCTGGCGGTGCCTGCTGTTGGGCGGCAGCCAGCTCCATGCCAGCGTGCAGAACAGCTGCTGGCATTTGCTCCTGCTGCTGTTTGACTGTGAAACGGAATGGAAAATGTGCATTAGTCAGGGCTGCTGTCCTTGGGGGATTAAATCGAGATTGCAGACACTCACCGACTGCTGCGATCATGGACATGCGCTCCATCTCCCTCTCACGATCCTCTAGCTGCAGGCTGCCATCACGACCCAGGAACGGACTGACACTCGCTCCGACAGGCGGTGGCGGCACCACCACGCTAATGGAGGCCGCTGGCCGATGGGCTGGCGGCGGCTCCAGCTGTATGCCGCCGCCCTCGTAGTAGCCCGCCCGCGTGGCCATGTCGCTGAAGTGGGCATGGGGAATGCGAGCATTATGCACATAGACTTGCGCCATTTGGGGGGAGTCTAAAGAGGAACAAAGAATGAGTTATACAGTTAAAATAAGAGAGGGAGGGGGAGGCTTCATTCCCGCTGCACTTACCCGCTGCTGTGCGATCCTGTGGACTCTGCATGCTGTGAGGCACTGCAATGGTGCGCGGTGGTCCACTGCCTGGTCGTCGCAGCTCCAACGGCGGACTGTTGCTGATCATCTTGTCATCGTAGTCGCCGCTGCGCATCAAATGGTGTTGATAGATCATAAAGTCCCTGGAGGCAGCCACACCCCGATACGTGGCATCGTTCTGCAAGCAAGGAACGGAACGAAAGAATGGTCAACGATTAGTAAAGGGTTTGCTTGCTGCCTTGGGGTTATGCTGTGTGTGTGTGTGTGTGCGCGTTCATCTTGATTTTGGGTGGGGTATTGGGATTACGCTACTTGTAAGCTCCACAAGTAAAACTCGTGCATTACCGGTGTTATGGGCGATGCCTGCTGATGGGCCGGCGGCGGGCTCTGGGTGCGTCGTCCACTGACATAGGCACCCAGATCATGCTGCAGCGTCCACAATAATGTTGGCAATTTCGAGAGTTCAAAGTTAGTTTTAGGATTAGTTTTGGTTACGATTACGATACTTAAAGGAGGATTAGCTGTGATTAAGGGACTGAAGGAGGAGATGCTTACCAGACTCGTATCGAACGGCGGCACTCCCGGCATTCCTGGGGGCAGAACCAGCGGGGATACCCTTGGCTGTCCCTGCGGACTGATGTTGGGAATGGCTGTGCGCATCACTGCAATGGATCGAGGATTAGTTACGCTCCGCCTGCTAGAGACTGCTAGAGCCTGGCACTTACCCGCTGCTGCTGCTGCTGCAGAGTTAGCCTGCTGCTGCGCCGACTTGAGCACTGCTGCCACCGAGACGGGCGGCGGACTGCCCACACTGCCTGGCAGGATCTGTCCTGCCTGCACCTGTAGGCTGTGCACCACGGGATTCGGTTTGCCCGGCGGCGGCGAGGGCGTCAACTGATGCTGCTGCGGCTGCAGATGTGCTGGGGCCTTCTGCTGTAGCAGCAATCCTGGATGGTTGGGCAGCATGGGTATTCCATGCGGCGGCAGCTGCACTTGCACTCCCTGCGGTGGTCCAGCCTTCTGCTGGTTGGGTGGCTTGTACAGCTGCTGTGGATGTTGTACTGCTGCCGTGGATGTTGTAGGTGGCAGGACGGTGGGCACGTAGCCAAAGTTTGGTTTTCCCAGCTGCTGCATATGTCCCGTCGCCGAGGAGGTGGGTGGCAGTGGCTGCTGTGGCTGCGGCACCACTGAAGCCTTGGAGCTCACGACATGCAGGATCTGCGGTGGTGCTGCTGATGTTGCCTGCTTGATGACGAGCGTCTGCTGCTGCTGTTGTTGGGGCATGGATGCTGCCGCTCCTATCTGCTGCTGATGTTGCTGCTGCTGCTGCTGTTGACCCTGAATCCTGGGCGAATGTGCCGATGGTGGTGGCACATTCACCAGCAGATGCTGCTGCTGCTGCTGTTGCAAGTGGCGTGCTATGATTTGCGGCTGCAGCAGCTGATTGCCTGCCGCATCTGTGAGTAGCATGTGTCCCGCAACCGCTGGCTGCGGCTGCTTGGTGGGCGTCAGCTGATGCTGTAGATTCTTTTCTCTGTTCAGGACATGCGCCTTCAGTGGCTGCGGTGGCCGCACGTTGCTCAGCTGCGCATGTTGCAACACCGTGGGCAATGGGTTCTGTTGCAGCACAATCGGTTGTTGCTTTGGTGGCGCCACCAACTGCGGTTGTCCCTGCTGTTGCTGCTGCATCACCAAAGGTGAGGCATTGGCATTGCCCTTGACCAACACGCTGACGGGTTTGTTCAGCATAGCCGCCGCAGCAGCTGCCTCCAGCTGCGCGGATTTGTTGCCCAGCGCTGTGATGGGCGCCGCCGCCGTAGTCGGAGCCAGAACTGTGGCATTGATCTGCTGCTGTGGCAGCGCCTGCTGCTGCTGGTGCTGCTGCTGTTGCATCTGCGGTGCCGCCTCATTGCTGCTGCTGTTGGTGGGAGCTGCAGCCGTGGCTGCCGGGAGGTTACCCTCCTTGCCCTGTGGCATGCCCGCGGTGATGACTCCCGTGACGGGATCCACCAGGGCCTTGCTCACGGCATCCGCTGCTCCTCCTGTGATCTTTTGCGTGGCGGCCGGAGCTGCCGTCTGGTGCATGGGTAGCCCTCCGCTGGGTATCGACGAGTTGATGGCCTGATACGATTCGATCTCCGCCGCAGCGATCGCCTTTTTCTTGGGATGCTGCGGTATCGTGGGCTTCGGCACGGGCATCACTGGTGCCACTGGCACTGCAGCAGGAATAGCAGCAAGAACAGGAACGGCAGATGACGGGGCTGTGGGTTCAACCTCTTTGCTGTCCAGCTGTGGCATATGTGGCTGCTCGGGCGCATGCAGGATGGGAGTTGCGGGCGGTGCAGGCGATGAGGACTGCGATGAGTCCTCCATTAGGCTCGTCAGCGGCTCCGAGATGGTCTTCCTGTCCTTCGAGCGTCGTGGACGACCCACGGCATTGGTCGGATTCACGAGATCTGTTTTCTTCGTCTGGGCATTCCGTCCGGAGCGGCGGGGAGGCGTCTGGGCGCCCTTTGGCAGCTGCTGGACAAGTCCAGCGGCCATTTGGGTGTTGGTATTCCGCACCACATCCTCGATGATGTCATCCACTGTGCTGCGATCCTCCTTCTCCTGCAGGCGGCGCGACTTGCGCGTGTTGCTGGATTCGCTCGAGTTGTCGCTAATGATGGCATCGTTGTGCGGCTGTGGCAGGGTTTGGGGCTGGGGCTGGGACTGTGCTTGTGCCTCTGTCTGTGGCTGTGGCGCTGCTGCTGGTGGCTCCACTTCGGTGCTACTCTTGATCGACGGCTGCGACTTGTTAATCGTCAGAATGAGACGCGGCCGCTGATCCTCCGCTGGCGCCACCACAGCGGCAATCTTTGGCTTGGGTCCGCCTCCCCGGAGTCATCGTTGAACTCATAAATGTCCTGGCTGGACCTGGACACCCCAGGCGGAGTCGCTACCTGTGCCTGAGTCAACGCCTGATTCCTGGCCTTCTTCTCAGCGGCCGTCGGCACTGGAGTGGGCGTCACCGCTGCCACAGCTGTTGTTGCTGGTGCAGTGGGTGTCGGTGTCGACATTTCCATAGACTTCTGCTGCTGCTGCTGCGCCAGTTGTTGCTGTTGGAGCTGCTGCTGTTGCAGGAGAAGATTCCTGGGCGGACGGCCCTTCCTGCCGCGAGTCACAGGCGCCGTCACCGGCTTCCTCAGACGCGTCTGCACTCCATTGTCGCCAGGAGTGATGCCTAAGCCAGCATCACCTCCTGGTGCAACACCTGGCGTGGCCAGCGGGAGTCCTCCCTGCTTCTTGGCGCCACGCGGCTGTCTTCCACGCTTGCTGGCGCCTCCACGACCCGGCGGCCTGCCCACAGTCGGCGTGCTGGGCTTCGGGGGCATCTGACGCGTCTCCGTCTCGTCCTCCGTGTCGTGATCGTTCACCGAACTGTTGATAGTTACAGATGGAGAAGGAGCAGGGGCTGGAGCAGGAGCAGGAGCAGGAGACGGGGTCGGCACTGGTGTTTCTGTGGGTATGGCGGGTGTTGGCACCTCCACTGGGGGAACGACTGTCGGGGGCATTGGCATCTCGATGGGCGAACGCTTCTCCTCCTTGATGACTGCAGGCGGGTCCAGCTTCTTGATCACACTATCGATATTCACCTCCTTGGCGGACCAATAGTCGCTGTCCACCTCCTTGGAGTCCTGCTCGATCAGCTCATCCTGCTTGGGCTGCGATATCTTGATGAGATTCTCCTCCGTCAGCAGGGATGTGGCACTGGCTGCCGCCTTCGGTGAGATTATCGCCGGACTGCCGCTGGTCGTGGGTGTGGGTGTCCGTATCACCGAAACACTCTCCGACGTCTTGATGGCCAGAGATTTCTCCACTGCGTTCTCCTTGATGGGATTGGCATTGGGACTGGGATTGACATTGGGATTCGCATTTGGTTGCGTTGGGTAGTGAATCGCATTGGCTGTGCTCGGTGCTTGTCCTGCTGGCGGTGGCACGATATGCTGCTGCACAATCATCTGCTGCTTGGTAGTTGGACTCTGGATCACATTCAGTTGCGGCGATGGATGCGGCATTTGCGTGGCTCCTGGAGAGGATTGCTGCTGCTGCATCGATGGTTGCTGCTGCTGTTGCGGTTGTGGCACTCTCACCAGCAATGATGGACTGTGCATCATTGGATTTGGCTTGCAGGGCGGACTGTGTGGCAACTGCTGCTGCTGCTGCTGCTGCTGGTTGGGCATGCCACGCGGCGGATGCTGTGCAAACATCGGTGGTGGCGGACCCAAGTGTGGCGAAGCATTCGTCTGCTGCTGCTGTTGCTGCTGGGCAGGATGTTGTTGTATCTGCTGTTGCATCTTCTGGATGTGCATCTGCTGCGCTTGCAGTGCCTGCTGTTGGTTCAGCTGCTGCTGCTGCTGGGCCTGGACCTGATGTTGCTGCTGCTGTGCCTGCTGTTGCTGTTGGTTCAACTGCTGCTGGTTCATCTGATGCTGTTGCTGTTGGAAGTGCTGATGCTGCATGGGAGTCAACTGCTGCTGTCCCGCCTGATGCTGATGCTGTTGCTGTTGCTGCAACTGATGTTGTTGCACGGGCGTCAGCTGAAGTTGATGTTGCTGCTGTCCATGGAGTTGCTGCTGCTGCTGCTGCTGATGTTGTTGTTGTTGCTGTTGCGACTGCTGATGTCCATGTTGTTGCTGCTGCTGTTGCATATGCTGCTGCTGCTGCTGTCGTTGCAACATCTGCTGGTGCATAAACTGGTGCACTTGCTGCTGATGTTGATGCTGCTGATGGGCTGCCGTCATCTTGGACATCATTTGCGGCGACAACTGTTGCTGCTGCGCCTGATGATGTGGCGGCTGTGGCTGTGAGTTCACGTGCAGACTCTTGTGTGGCGGTAGACTGCCCAATGGCGGTGAACTTGCCACCTGGGATTGGGTCGCCTGCTGCGGCTGCACTGTCACTACCTTGCTGATGATTGTCGGATGGTGTGGCACCTGCATGGGCGGCATCTTCTGCATCGGCATGGGAATCAGTTGTGGCGACGATTGCAGATCCATCAGAGACTTGGGCGATGGCTGCTGCTGCTGCTGTTGCTGCTGTTGCTGCTGTTGTTGGGCCTGGGCTCGTGGCTGGTAGCTGTTCGGCTTGCTCGTGGTGGGTGATGTGGTATTGCTGCCGGCGGCCACTCGCGGCGTAGGACTGGCCAAAGGACTCATGTTGCCGCCCTGAGGGGAAGTCATCAGAGCATGCTGTTGTTGTTGTTGCTGCTGCTGCTGTTGTTGGTTAACCCCTCCTGGCACGGGACGACCCGCAGGACTCAGTTGACCCACCACTCGATTGATGGATGGTCCGCCACGTCCCGGCGACAGCAGCGGACTATGCGGCGACTGTGCCCGAATGCCCATAATGTAACCTCCGGGCGTCGGCTGCTGTTGCTGCTGCTGCTGCGGATGATGGGGCGAGAGTACCATGTGGGGCACCATAAAGTGCGGCGTCTGCTCTGGAATGGAGATGGTCGGTGGCTGCATGATGAGCGACTGTGTGCGCAGTGCCAGCTGTTGGGGCGTCTGCTTGGGCGTCGAGGCCTGCGGCATGCAGGGGATGCTCTGGCTGGGATTGGGACTCCCGAAGGATATCGAGGGAGAGACTGAGCTGCTGCTGTTCGAGCAATTGCCCATCACATTGGACAGATCCAGATTGATGACGGGCGTGGGAGTCGGATGCGGGGCAGCTGCCAATGCCGGCGCAGCTGCAGGAGCTATCGATACGGACACGGATGGAGGAGGTAGCACTGGGGGTGCGGGCAGCACCGTCTGCACGGGCTGCACCAACGGCTGCTGCAGTTTGCTGATTGTCGGCGGCTCAATCTTCGCGGGGGAAGATGTCAATGTCAAGGAGCTGCCGCCAATCATCACCGATGGGGGCTTCTGCTGCTCCAAAGATGGCAGCTTCGTGATCACCGAAGGTGGACCCTTCTTATCCTCCACTGGGGAAGATGCCTTGGACGCCGTCGCCGCTTCCCTGCTGCTGCTCGACATAGACTTCTCTGGCGATGAGGAGCTCTGAACGGTCTCATCAATCTTGAGACTCGGTCCACTGCTGTCTGCCTCGTCGGGATTCTCCTCGGTGTCCGTGTCTATCTGGAGATCCCTCTCCGACTGCGGTGTGTCTGCCTTGATGTCCATCATGTCCTCGTGCTTCAGACTCTGCACAGCCTTGTTGATCTCATCTGGATCCAGGACGCCGCCTCCTGCTCCCACCACCACCACTGGGGGTTCTGCTTCCGCTTCTGCCTCTGCCTCTGTTCCTGGCTCTGCTTCGGGCTCATCTTCCAGAATGGCTGGTGGCTGCTCTTCGACGGCTCCCTCGATTGCCTTGGCCGCCAGCGCGGCCTCCTCATCGGGTTCGGCCACAACGATAGCCGGCGTCTCCATTTCACTCTCGTCCATGCCATCCAGCGAGTAGTCGGCCGTCGAGGAGGTGCCAAAGCTCTCGCCGAGCAGCGCTGACACGGCGCTCTCCGTCTCCTCCTGGGAGATGGTCACCCGCGATTTGCTGTCCTCCATTTTGTCCAGTGGCTTGGTGGCTCCCGGTGGCGAGGCGACCGGAATCTTGGGCTCATCTCCCAACGGATCCAGCAGGGAGCCGCTGTTGAACTCCGCGGAGATGGACTGCACAGCCGACTCGCTGATCCTGTCATCCAGCTGGCCATCGAAGCCGGGAATGAAGATGTCCTTCTTCTTCCCGAGCGCCGCACTTGTGGGCGAACTCTCTGCGGAGGCTGCTGCGGCGGCCGCGGCGGCTGTTGTCGAGGATGTGGGTGTCGTGGCCAGCGCCGAGGAATTGGCACCCGCCGCTGCACCACTGCTAACTGGCGTCTCCGCGGACTGTGTGGACAGCATGGAGCTGTTCGTGATGGTCGGCGTCTTGGGAATGGGGCTGATCAGGCGAGGCTTCTCGCGCGAGGGTGTGAGGCTGTCGCTGCCCCTTGTGCTGCTGCTGGTGGGAGTGCTCGGTGGCAGGGTGACTGAGGGATGCACGGGGACCTTGGGGGGCACCACCACATCCTCATCGTCATCGTCTCCAATGAGGCAGGGCAGACTCGGCGAGGGCTTGCACAGCGGCGGCGATGCAGGACGGTGCTTGGCGTCCATCTGCTCATCCGCATGCTTGGCAGCTGCCTGGACGTTCACCGTCAGCTTGCCGGGCGTCGGGGGAGCAGACAGAATCCCCGGGGTGGGCACCGATTCCCTGCGCAGCAACTTCTCCTGCTTCTCCTCCTTGGAGCGCTTCTTTTTCTTCTTCTTGTCCTTGCTCTTGTGCTGCTCCTCCACCGGCTGCTTGCCGACTCCTCCCATCGATGATGGCAGCTTCAGCTCCACGGAGTTGTTGTCCTCGTTGTCCGAGAAGCGGAACACATCGGCCATGTCCGATCTGTAGGTGTTGGCCGTCGAGGGCGTGGCCTCCTCGGGCATCATCTTGCTGTCAAAGTCATCCATCAGTTGGGCCTCCAACGCCCGTCCCGCCTCATCCATGTCCACGCTGTTGTCGTCCTCGATCTTTGTCGCATTGGACGAGGATTGCTGCTGGGCCGCCTGCTGCTGCTGCTGCTCTCGATGGGACCTTTCGCGTCGCTTCTTATCGCGCTTCTCCTTGCGATGACGCTCTCTGTCCGCATGCGAGGAGGAGGAGGAGGTGCCGCCCGTCTGGCGGGGTGCTCTCTCCACAGGTGCTGGCTGATCCTCTTGGATGGGCAATTGGTTCTCCTGGATCTTGGCCGAGGTGGGTGTGGATGGCGGCTCCTGTTTGTATGTCTGCAGGGCAGCCGACACAATCGGCTCCCTCGAGGAGATCTCCTTGACTCCGCCTTCTGGCTGCTCGTCTGGGAACTGCGACTCATCCTCGTCCGAGATGATGCCAAAGATGAACTCCATCTTGTCCTCGCCCCGTGTCTTGTCTCGAGTGAGAGCTGGCGCCGAGCTGGGTGTGGCAGGAACGGCGGACACAGGCACAGACGCGGCCACTGGGGATGCTGCTGCTGTTGTGGCTGCTGCGGCTGCTGGCACAAGGCTGCTGCCGCCAGAGGAGGCATTGTACAGCCTCGTCGAGGAGGAGGATGAGGTATCCAAACTCTTGGATTTCTTTGACTTTTTCAAGCGGTGTCTCTCCTCCTTTGACAGCTTCTCCAACTTTCCCTCCCCCAGATCGTTGCTGCTGCTGCTTCCAGGCGGAACAGCTGCAGCTGCTGCTGCTGCCACTGCCACTGCTGTTGGTGTGCTGCCGCTGCTCATGTGTGGTGTTGTTGTGGTGGCTGTGGTCCCAGCGATGGTGGCACCGCTGTTTGTTTCCGCCGAGAGGTTCCTCATCTTCTCGCGCTTCTTCTCCTTGCGCTCCTTGTGCTTCCGCCTCTCGCTCGCCGAAATGTCCAACGATATGGGCAGGACACTCTCCCGTTCCCGCTCCCGATCTCGCTCCCGTTCCGTCTTTAGATCTTCAAAGCTATCCACAAACTTGTTTCCCTTCAAATCAGACGTATGCACATCGAAGATCGAGGGCGTGGCTATGGACACAACGAGGGATGGCGGTGGCTGCGGCGGGGGCTGCTGCTGTAGCTGCTGCTGCTGGGCTTCTACCTCTCGGGAAGAGGAGGACTTCAGGCGCTTCTTGCTCTTCTTGTGCTTCTTGCGCGTCTCCGGGGAGTAGTCCTTGATCTTGCCGGGAGTCCCAGAGTCGGAGTAGGCATTGGAGTAGCCACCGGCAGAGTTGTAGAAATCCCCATACTCCTTCTTGATCTCCGTCTTTAGCTTGCGCTCCTCCATCGAGGAGTTGGAGTCGTGACGGGACTTGAACTCTGTCTTCAGCTGCTCTCCCCCGTCCGACAGCTGCTCCTGCTTGATCTCTGGCTCCAGTTCCAGCTCCAGCTCCATCTCTGACTGTGTTAGCTGTGGCTCTGTCTGTGGCTCCTGCTTGATCTGCACCTGCATCTCGGGCGCTCCTGGCTGCGACTGCGACTCCGAATCGGAGGCGATGCGCGTCGAATGCGAGTTGCGCTTTCCGTGCTGATTGTGCTTGGTGAAGTTCCTGCGTATCTCGTCCTCCGAACTGTCGTCCCCGTCGCACAGACGGCGCAGATTCTGCTGCATCTGGAGGACGCGACTGGCCACCGCTTCGTGATCCACCTCGGACCTCGCATCCGAATCCGAGAATATGCGGCTATGGCTGTGGCTCTGCATCATCTCATCCTCGTCGTCGTCATCGTCGTCGCTGCTCGAGAGACCGATGTGGCGGCCGTGGAAGCTGCTGCTGCCGCTGTTCCGGTGATGGCGGTCCTCGAACTCCGTATCCGAGTCGCCGTCGTAGCTGGTGGAGCGCTTCTTCTTGGCCCGCGACTGCTTCAGCTGCGAGAACTTCGCCTTGATCTTCTTCTCCTCGGCCTGCCGCTGCATGTTCTTGCAGCTCCTGGCCTTCACCTTGTCGTACATCGAGACATTGGGACAGTCGTCGGGTATGTCGAAGATCGAGTGCTTCTTGGAGGCATCGTCGGTGTCGTCCGAGTCCGCGGAGCTGAGCATCATCAACTTGCTGCGCGACGATTTCGACGAGTGGTGCCCCTCGTCGGAGCCCCTCGACGACTTTCTGTCCACGCTCCTCCTTCGATGGTGGTGATGATGGTGGTGCGATCCCTCCCGATGGCCCTTGCCACTGGAGGTGTTGGTCGGAGCGGAGCTCAGTTCTCCCGCAGAGCCACTGCCAGTGGCGGAGGTCCGTCTATGGGGATTATGATGATGATGCTGCTCCTGCTCCCCCTCCTCCTGCTGCTGCTGATGCTGCAGCTGGAGATGCGAGTGTGTGTGCATGTGCTGTAGAGGCTGTTGCTGCTCCTCATCGGTGTTGGTGGACTCGGCCACAGAATGTCGCTTCTTTTCGCGATGGTGCTCCCGATGGTGCTCACGCTCTCGCTTGCTCTTGTGGCGCGAAGAGGAGCTGCTGCTGTGGTGATGGTGTTCCCCCCTGTCTCCCTTCTCGCGATCCCTCTCCTTCTCCCGCTTCGGCTGTGGCTGTGCCTGCTGCTCCTCCTCGCTGGTATTGAGCAGCTGCTGTTGCTGCTTGAGTGCTGCTGCCTTTGGGTTGGAAGTCACATCCAGCATATCCATCGATGGTGTGACAGTGACATCCATCGAAGAGGGGGCACTGGCACTCGCTATGCCTATGCTCTTGTAGTGATGCTTCTCCCTGCGATGATGCTTCGAGGAGGAGGATGAGCTGCCGCCACTGCCATGCGACTTGGAGTGCGAGGAACTGCAGTTTGGTGTCTTGGAGTCAGCATCCTTGGAGCTGCTGTTACTGCTCTTATGCTGCTGCTGGTCCTTGGCTCCGTCGTGACGATCGTTGAGCCGCTGGTTCTGACTCTGGCTCTGATTCTGATTGTTCTGGCTGGGTATGGGATTCTGATGGTTCTCCATGCGTATCCGCTTCACATAGTCATCGTGATGATTGTGCAGACCACCGACGCCTCCTCCTGTGGCGCCACTGTGGTTGCTATCCTGCGAGCTCAGGCGACGCTTGTGGATGCGGGGACCGGGAGAGTTCCTCGAGGATTTCCGCGAGCGATCCTTCGCGGCAGCGGCGTTGCTGCCATCGTGCGCTGGCGTGGGACAGGACGAGGGTGGCACTGCTGCGGCATCGGCGGCATTCTCTTTGTTGTGCTGCCGCTCGCATTCAGTGGATACGCTGGGCGTGACATTGTGCGAGTAGAAGCTGCTGGCCTCGGAGCTGGCATCAGTTTTGCTCTTGTGGTATGAAGACATCTCGCGCATCCGAGACATGCGGGACTCTTGGTCCGAGTCCGAGATGGAACGTCGCGAGGATTGTTCTTTCTCTCGGTGATCCCGGTCGCGATGTTCCTTCTCCCGATGCTCCTTTTCGCGCAGCTCTCGCTCTCGTTTCTCCTGCTCTCGCTGATCCTGTTCTCGCTGCTCTTGCACTCGCTGCTGCTCCCTTTCTTCACGCTCCTTTTGCTCGCGTTCTTCTTGAGCCTTGCGCTCCTTCTCTTCTTTGGCCTTGCGCTCCTTCTCCTTATCCTCCTGCTCGGTCTTGCGCTCCTTCTCCTCCTGGTGAACCTTGCGCTCTTTTTCTTTTTCTTTTTCCTTTTCCCCTTGGTGGTGTGCTTTCCGGTCCTGATGAGACTTCTCTTTCTCCTCCGGTTGTGGATGGTGTGCCTTCCGCTCCTTATCCTTCTCCTCGCGCTCTTGGTGCTTGCGCTTCTCCCTCTCATGGCGCTCCTTCTGGTGCGCCTTCTCCCGCTCCTGACGCTGCTCCTTTTCGGATCGCTCCCCAGGATCGTCCGTGTCCGTCGAGTCTTCGATGCGCGGAGTCGCTGACTTGGACGATTGAGAGGTCGCGGAATTCTTGCGCTTGTCCCCGGTCGTCGAAGATGAAACGGAACTCTTGTCGGAGTTCTTTTTCGACTTTTTGTCGCCGCCTTCCGAGCGGCTGTTATGTCTGCTGCTGCTGCTGTGGGACCTGTCCGTGCTGTTCGAACGGTTCGCACCACTGTGCGACTTGTCCACGCTGTTCGAACGATTTGTTGTCGTAGTCGTGGTCGTCGTCGAGTGGGACTTGTCTGTGCTGTTGGATCTGTTTGTGGAATTCGCCTTGTCCGTGCTGTTGGAACGGTTCGTACTGCTGTGCTTGTCCACAGAGTGAGACTTGTCCGTGCTGTTGGCTCGGTTCGAGCTGTGGGCCTTTTCCAAGCTGTTGGATCGGTTCGTGCTGTGGCTCCTGTCCACGCCACCGTGGGCACTGCTGCTGCTGCTGCTCTTGCTCTTGTGGGAGTGCGAGTGGGAGGAGGAGTGTGAGGAGGAGTGCGATGTGGATGCGGATGCGGATGTCTTGCTCTTGTGCTCCTCTTCGCTGGAGTTCTGCTGCTGTTGTTGCTGTTGTTGCTGTTGGGACTTTTGTACATGTGTTGTGGTGGCTGTTGTTGCTGAGGAACTGTTACCGTTGGACGATGATGTGGAATTGGATGAGCTCGAGGGGGCATTGCTGTTGCTGTTGCTGCTTGTGCTGGAGGTAGTAGTTGTCCCCACATTCGTGCTGCCCGGCACAGAGGCGGACTTCTGCAGCTGTGCTCTGGCGCTGGGCGACTGCGACGGCAGTGGCTCGGCGGGCACGCTCAGACTCTTAGTCAGACTGTTGGCTGCTGGTGGCGGTCCCGCTGCTGGTGAAGTCTTGGCTGCTGATTGTTGCTGCTGCTGCTGCTTCTGTGTCACCGTCACTGGCGTCTCTGGCGGTGGCGGGGGTGCTGGCTGCACGGCTGGCGGTGGTGCCGCAGTGTTTGGCAGAGGCGGGTGACTGGGAAACGGATACTGCAGACCTTTGGTGGCTCCCGATGTGGCTGCTGGGGATCCCGATGCCGAGGCAGCGGCGACCGCCGTAGCCGTGGGAATCACTCCTCCGCCTGCTGCACTACTGCCGCTGCTGCTGCTGCTGTTACTGCATCCAGCGATGGGCTTCATGGACGCAAGTTGTCCGCTTGGCGTGGCCGCTCCCACCGATGGCGAGGGCGAGGGACTGTTGTAGGGAGACATCGAGGCCTGGGGCGAGTTCATGGGCGACAGGCTGCTCAGCCGCTGGAGCAGTCCGCTCGTCGTCTTGTTGGTGCTCGTCGAGTTGGACAGAATGGGCGTGCAGTTGCCAATGATGGGTGTCGTCTTGGTGGCCGCCAGATTGGGCAGCAGCGCCGGGGAGGTGTTCCCACTGCACAGGCCATGCCGCGAAGCTGTCGCGGTGGATCCCGTGGAGGTGGAGCCGATGGCGAAGTCCGCACTGCACGGATCGTACCACTGGTTCTTCTTCAGCCGCTGCAGATCGTCGTCGAAGATGGACTTCTTGGCGAGCAGCGACTTGACGATATCCGACGGCTGCAGCTCGTCAATGTCCAGGAACTTGTGCCGCGAGTTGCTCGCCGAATGGCAGCTGGAGGCCGTGCCGCTGGAGCTGTTGCTGTTGCCAGAGTTGGCCGGATGCGTGCTCAAGCCGCTCAGATTCGTGTGCATCGACAGCTGCCACGAGGGCGTCGTGCTGCTCGACTGTTGGGCATGGCTGTGGCTGTGGCTGTGACCGTGGCTGGAATTGGTGTTGCTGCCCGTCTGCTGATGCTGCTGCTGGGTGTTGCTGCCGCCAGACCATCGCTCGTAGTTCTCCTCAAAGTTGCGGAGGCGTTCGTCCAGCGAGGGGCTTCCCCCGGCATGTCCGGGCACATCCGAGTCGCTCGAATTGGAGCTCAGCGAGCGTGGACGCGCCGGACTGGCCATCAGGCCCAAGGAGGAGCCCGAAGACGACTGCTGCTGCTGTTGCTGTTGTTGCTGCTGCTGCGAGTGGTGCGAATGATGGTGATGCTGGTGCGAGTGGTGCGAGGAGGATCGCCAGTAGCGTGAGGAGGGGCTCGGCAGGAAGGCCGATGATGATCCCGTGCCGCCCAATCCACTGCCGAGTCCTGCACTTAGACTAGAGTTGCTGTTGTTGTTGCTGGAGGAGCAGGAGGACCCGCCGGCTACCGAGGAGCATCCCAACAGGTAGTTGGATACACTGCTCGATGAGCAGCCGCTGCCGCTGCCGCTGCCTCCGCCACTGCCACTGCCAGGGCCACTGCGATGCTGCTGGATGAACGAGTAGCCAAACTTGGGCATTGGCAGCCACATCACCTCCCTTACTCTTTCCCGCGTCCGTTCTCTCGGCGGGGGCAGGCGTCGGGGCTCGGAGGGCAGCACTTCGGGTCGCTCATCGCACAGGGGCGTACCCGGCCGCGATCCGTCCGCACTCTCCCCGCCGCTGGCCTCGTGCGAGTGATGGGAATGTAGCTGATGGCCGCGTCCTCGCGAGGCATGATGATGGTACGCCTCATCGTTGGGCGTCACTCCGGTGACTCCTCCGCCCAGCAGCAGACCACCGCCGGAGCTGCTGTTGTTCCCCATTGTGGGGGGCTGCTGCATGGGCGCCACACGCCGTCGCTTGGCGGCCAGCGAGGCATTCATCATGTGCTGTTGCTGCTGATGTTGCTGATGCTGCTGATCCATGCTGCTGGCCCCCACCAGTCCGTGGCGAAACGCCGAAGAGCTGGAGAGCGCCGACAAGGCGCCCACATCAATGGACGGCCGTCGGCAGCTGATCATCAGGGAGGGCGGTGGCTGGTGTCCAGGGAACTTCATGCTGTTGCTGTTGCTGCTGGGAGATGCCTCGGACACACGTCGGATCTCGCTCTTGCGATTGAGGGGATCGTGTATCACATCACAGTTGGATAGGGTCAAAGGTTGCTGCTGCTGCTGCTTGTCCCCAGTGGAGGGATAGGGATCCACCAGCTAAACAAGACACAATGAAAAGAGGAGAGGATGAAAAGCAATCCAAAAGTGGCAGAGACTGCTGCTGTGTGGACTCAGAGTACTTACCCCCGAGGCATTGGAATGATGATGAAGGTGATGGTAATCCATTTTGATGCGCTTCCTGGGACTGACCACGCCTCCCCCCTCATCACCACTGGACGGGCATTCGTCGAGGAGAAGTTGCTCTACAAAATGAAAATTGAAATTGTCGAGTGCTGTTGCAGCTAGTAAATCTTTAGAGTCTTACCGCAACGTCGCCGATTGGCTCCTCCCACGCTTATGCTGCTGCTGTTGCTGTTAATCAGCGTCGCTTCCATGGGGGTTTCTCCGCTGGAGCCTCCAATACCGCCAAGTACGGGGCCCAGGCGTGCAATCACTGGCGAATCGCAACGACTGCCCACAGCTGTGGCGTTTGTGTCTTCGTCGTGAGGCTCCTCTATGTTGCCAGCAGCGCGAAATCTTCGTTGTGCCGCCACATCGTTCATATCAAAGTCGATGGTGTGCCTCGCATTCCTTGCCATGCGCATCCTCACCTGCGCCATGGCAGCCGGTGACATGGGCGGCATCGATGACGAACAGCTGCTGCTGCTGCTGCTCCCCACCACAGATGGCAGCGTGGCAGTGGAAGCTCCAGCCACAGAAGCTGCTGCTGTTGCCGTTACCGGAGCACCACTGATGCCACCGCTAATGCTGGAGCTACTACTGCTCACAATAGCAGAGGCGATGCTGGGGGCAGGCATTGCAGAGCTACCCGAGGGGGTGCCGCTGCCACCGCTCGTCGGCGTATTGCTGCCAGCATCGCAGCCATCGTTGGAGTTTGTCTGATGGCGGCTAAAGGAGGAGGCACGCGATCTGGACTGCTGTGCGGAGGAGGAAGAGGAGCATGTGGAGGACTCATAGCGATTGAAACGCGAAGAGGAACCTACAAAGAAGAAGGGAGAGAGAGAGAACCGTTAGGTGGGGGAACCATTTCCCGCTTTTGCTTCTCACTTACCAGCATTCTGTTGCTGCTGCTTCTCCTGCTTGTCATAGAACGCATCCTGACACTCTCTGGAGGCAAAGTCCACCTGCAACTTCCTGCCACGCATGATGGTGCCACGCATATCCTTGACCGCTGCCTGGGCATTCTGCACCTGATCGTACAGCACCAATGCCAGCTGCCGCATGCGATCAATGCTCACTTTGGTGACAGCGCCAAAGCGCGTGAACTGCGACTGCAGAAACGACTCGGAGACCTTCTCGCCCACCCCATCGATCCACACACAGTTGGTGGGCATGGATTTGCCGAAGCCGAGCTTGATGCGGTTGCTGCCCAGATGCTCGCCATCCATTTTGCGCATGGCCTTCACCACGGAGACAATGTCCGAATACTGACAGAAGGCGTAGGCGTTGAGGCCCTGCTTCTTGATGTCGATCTCGATGATCTCCCCGAAGCTCTCGAAATGCACACGCAGCTCGCTTGCCGTGATGTCCTTCTCCAGATTGCCGATGAACAGGGTACGCGTCGACTTGGGATGGTATTCGTCCAACTCGGCCTCGTACGGCCGGAACTCGTTGTCCTCGACGTCGTAGCCCTGGTAGGGTTCCACCTCGATTTTACAGCCGAAAAAGTGCTTGTCGTGGGAGACCTCCAAGGCCTTCTCCACATCGTCGGGCTTCTTGAAGCAGACGAGGGCATAGCGCTCCGAATTCTGGCCGACGACCTTCACCCACGTGACCTTGCCGTGCTTTTTGTACTCATGAAAGAGACCATCCTTGAGGGATGTGTCCGAGGAACGGGCGGGCAGGTTGCGTACGCGTATCGCCAGTGGGCGATTATCTTCGGAATGCACCACAGGATTGACAGCGAGGCAGGAGGAGGAGCCGCCGCCACTGCCACTGCCGCTGCTGCTGCTGCTAGAGCTGCTGCTGCTGCTGCTGGAACTGGAACCACAACCGCCACCACTGCCACTAGGGATGGCCACGGCTCCAGCATTGCCACTGGGATTTGAAGAAGTGCCTGGAAGAGAGGAAGGATTGAGGATTCAATTGAGGATGGGGGTGTGGGGGTGAACACTCACTGTTGACAGCCACCGACTGGAGACTGCTGCGGGAGATGCTACGACCATCTGATGCACATTGGATGCCCGACTGGACCGGACTGGACGCGTGCGAATGTGACGATGAGTGCGACGACGCTGACGAGGAGCTGTGTGAGCTGCTGTAGCTGCTCGGCGAACGCGAATGCGACCGACTTGACGAGGTGGTGCTGCGTCCATGCAGATGATGCTGATGATTATGATGGTGATGCTGGTGGTGTCGCTGGTGTGGCCTCGACGAGGACAAGGATGATGATGTCAGTGCTGGGGAGCAGGCGGATGCTGATGCTGATGCAGACGCAGAGGTGGATGTCCCATTATCGACGACAGCTGCCAGGGCAGCGGCCACATTTAGAATGTCACCGCCACTGCCGCTGATTGCTCCGCTGCCACTACCCTCTGCTCCTGCTGCTGTTGTTGTTGCACCTCCAGGGGATGCAGTTGTAGATTCAGATGCAATCGTTGGCATCGTCGGAGTTGCCGTGGTTATTGTATTATTTAAACTATTATTACTAAAACTATTGTTTGTGATTGTACTTGTCGTCGTCATCGTCATCGTCGTGGCAGCTCCTACTACTCCTGCTACTCCTGCTGCTGCTGCTACTGCTGCGGTTCCTCCTGGCGATTCAGAGCCACAGCGTCCTGTGGCTCCCCCTTTGAGCAGCTTATTGAGTTTACTGCCACTGCCGCTGCCACTGCCACTGCTGTTGTTGTGGTGGAGGTGGTGGCTGTGGTGACTCTTGCGCATTGCATCCCGATCATCCGCAGCACTCCCCGCATAGGCGACACTGCGATGCACGGCGGTGGTCGCCGCCTGGGCGGGTGATGAGTACGAGGCGGAGGTGGCGGCTGCGGTGGCGGCACATCCCACGGATGGCGCTGCTCCACTGGTGGCGCTGCTGTAATGTAAATGATGCGGAGGAGGATGTGGCTGCTGCTGCTGATGATTGATCGGTGAGCTGCTCATTGTAAAGCCGCCGGCTGTACCTTGAGCTGTGGCTGTTGTAGCTGCTGTAGCTGCTGCTGCTGCCGCTGCTGTCGCTGCTGTGGTAGTAGCTGCTGAGGCGCCGGCATTGCCACTGCCACCAGGACTTTTTAATTGGGCCGTTGCAGCAGCGGCGGCTTCGTACCATGACTGCGGTGCCACCACCCGAGGAGTGTTCTGATGATGTTGTATATTGTTGTTGTTGCTACGATCACCTAACGCTTGTGGCGGCGCCGGCGCGGCTCCTGCTGTTGCTGCTGCCGTTGTTGTCGATTGCGTTGTACTGGCTGCTGTCGTAGTGTTGTTCGTTGGGGCTGCTGAACCATTCCTGTACAGGCGATCTCTGTTCCTTGATCTATCAGTGGTTCCTACTGCACCTCCTACTCCTCCTCCTGCGGTTCCTGTGGCTGTAACGCTGCTGGCAGAAGGACTACTGTTGTTGTTAGTGGTTGTTGTTGTTGGCTGGTAACTGTTCAGGCGACTGCTGCGATCGTAATAGTTGTTCCTTTCGTAGCTATTTGTCGGTGGTTCTTCTGTAGACCTGGAAAACAAATCAGAAAGGAAAGCAAACGAGGGAATTATAGCATCATTTATAAGTAAAGTATAGATCTTATCTAAGGGGTAGTATTGTTGGCTATACCTCCGCATAATATGTATATTATCTAGCGGTTTTCTCTGCGAAAATCTTTGTCCACAACTTTTCAATGCTTATCCCAAGCGCAGCCCCTTTGGCGGGCAATTTTCTATTAGCGCCTATCATGGAGAATTATTTTTCACTAAATTCAAATTTTGTTTCTCCTTTTTTCGAGTATTTTCTTTTGTGCGGAACAAATTTCTCCCGATCAAATAAATAAACGGGCGCCAAATGACGTACGGTCGTCCGTCGTCTCTTGTTTACGCGGCAAGCAGTACACGCACTCGCTAACACACACACACACACACGCACACAAGCACAGGCACGTACGCCGCCGCTACATGCACACAAACACTATCACACAACACAAAAAAGCCGGGCAAGCAACGGGGAGAGCCACGTTATTTGGCTTCGAAAAACGGCGGCCGGCTGCTGCTGACTGCTACTTCTATGGCAGTAACCGGTTTTTGCTATATATATATTATATTTATTTCTTTCTTTTATTTTTAGCTTGGTTCTTTTTCGTTTTTGCTCTGCGTTTTGGTATTTCTTTTGTGGAATTCGTTTTTACGTTTTGCCGCCTCTTCTTTGTGTTTCGCGGTGCTGCCAGACTGTCTGCGTGAAATCGGCCATACCTTACCAAACAAGCATACTGTAGTTTCGACGGCAAGGCATTTCAAATGTTGCTGGGGGACCTAAAAATGTTGCTCTGGCCACACGTAAGAGTGGGTTTCGTGTAGAATTCACGTAAATTACATGAAGAATTTCGTTCTGGAGTAAATTTAATTGTTTTTGAGATTTAAATTAAATTGAATTATGCGGCAATGTGTTAAGCCGACAACCATTCATGGCAATTAAATGTAAAATTTAACTAATGCATGCAGACATAATTTAATTAGCGTTGTTTTTGAATTTTAGAGCCATTTAAAAGAGATAAATTTCTGCCAAATAGTGATCCAAACATACCATTTAAGCATTCTACTTTCCAAAAACAGTTTTAATTTAAATTTTTGGAAATTCAGTTGAAACATTCCACATTCAATAGCGCGCGAAACCAACTGTTGTTATGGATCTGAACAGAACTATAAATTAACCTACAAACGAAATGTGTTGCTCAACGAGAGAGAGTTCCAGATTAATCCTCATTTCTACCTGGGACAAAAAAGGAGCTGGCTGGATGGAAACAAAGCCATTAAAGATGGATGGTGAAGCAAAAACCAACCCCCAATAAAATAAATTAACGCGCAAAAGGCTCGAAACTCCATTGAAGGACAGGACAGGACAGGACAGGACTCTGTGGAATGACTTGAGGGTCGTCATGTTAGGGTTCGGGTCCTGAAATAACGAACCGACAAACAGGCGCGACCTTTTGCTAAATGTTGTTTTGAATTCTCATTGTATTTGTACATATTTGCCGAAGAAAGAGCACGGATCACACACACAGTCCATCTCTCTCTCTCTCTCTGAAATATGTAAAAATTCCCAAAATGCAAACAGAGCAAACACCAATAAATGTGTGTGTTTTTATAGGGTATTATTGTATGCGCAGATATGGAAAGTATGGATATAAATCGTATCGTATGCAGCATGTAAAGCTATTATTTGGCAGAAGGTTCTTTTTTTTTGTTTTTTTTGTTGCACACAGATCGATATACAATTGAGGCTTACGAACGCGTTCAATGGCACAGCACAGCGCACAGACGATCGATCGATCGATCCAGCGGGTTCAACGTCGTCATCTCTGGTCGCTGTTTTCTCTCTCGTCTCTGGTGTGTTGCGTGCTTATCTGTTGTGTAGATAAGCGCCAGCCCCCCTTCCGAGCAACCATACATCCAGCAACCATCCATAGACCCAGACCCCAGAGCTCAGTCTTCGACCCATTCCTCAGGCCTCAGTCGCAGTTATAGTCTCTCCCATTCGCATTCCATTGACAGGGGAATAACTTTGAATCTTAACAAATACCAAGGGAATCTCTCTACCTCTCTGTGACCTGCTCTCTGTCGTAAGGGAAAGGTAATGGAAGATGCAGCCAAAGGGGTTGGCTGTTGGTTGTATCCATCTTGGTACACATATCCAAAAGGATCACCTACCAGGGATATCTATCAACATCTTTTACGGAATTCTTTGAAACTATGAAAGTGTTTTTGAGATCATTTCGTTTTGCCAGATAGATAGCTATTTTGGGTGTTTCCAAACGAGTAAGGTTTCCCCTGAAATTCGTTGAATTTGTAGAGGGTTTCCCTTGACCAAAGTTCAAGGTTTCTAGATTTTTGTTTCCAAGAATTTCAGTTCGTAATCTGTAGCACTCAGTTTTTACAAAATATTACATTTAGATTTGGCTTTCAGTTATTCTTCTTACTAATTAAAAAAAGAAGTAAGTTTGAAGTGAGAGCACAGGAATTTCTCATTGACTAAGAAGAGAGTCCCAGGAAAAAGCGCTCCCATGATCGATCGACAAGTGAAATAGCCAAGATGCAAGATGCTACGTGGAAGGATTTATAACAGAAATATCCATTCGGATAATTTAAATAAATTCAAATTCCTTCTTTTATGTCTTTCAAATTAATTTTTATAAGACCTGTTCTTTCTTCATCCTCTACTTTAAATATATAACTACCAATATCAATACTACCAATTACATTGTGCGACAAATGAGAAACTTTTGAATGTACTTTGCACGAGACAAAATTTAGATTGTGGGTCGTGATGGGTAGATCACTTCCTCATACTTAGAATTTTCAATATACCCACAAATCTTTTTTAAAAATTCAAAAACCGCAATTCGATGACTGTTTGCATTTTCATAATTTTTACTCACAACCAGCAGAGCGGATATCCACAAAAAGTAATAGGTTGTCAAGAAAATTGTAGTACCTTTCACAGGATTTTTGATTCGTGGTAATAGAATGGATATATCTGAAGATATAGCGACTCAAAGTTGTAGTTTTCTATCATTTTTAATGTTTCTTCAACTTTGGCATTTTTTTTAAATTTGTTGTTGTATGGAATGGTATTATTTTTAGAACCGAACTTTCTAGTGCCATCTATTCTTAACAAAATAAGTTCCTAATAAATAAAATTGTCCAAAGAATGCCAACGGTACGATTTTTTTTAAAGTAATTGTATCAATTGTGGGTTACAACAGTTTCACAACTTAGTTTTAAATCCTATCTGTTACTCAGAGAAATAGTTTCTTAAGAACCCTACCGGAAAACAAATCAGCTTATATTTGAATAAATCTCTAAAAAATTTAATTTTCAATTTCCAAAATATAGACAAAAACAAGCCAAAGAAATGTTCTAATTCCAAAAGCCAGAGAGAGAGAGAGAGAGATTGAGAGACTGCGATAGAAATTCTCATAGTCGATTGCAATTTGTTCAAAGTCTGTGAAATCGGGGGATCCCCCAATATGCCCCCATTAATAAATGCAACCAATTGAGGTATTGAAGCCATTTCTATTATCCATCTATCTATCCATCCATCTATCATCTATCGTTCTACCACTATCAATCCATCGTTCTACATCTATCTATCTGTAGATATCTTTCCTCTATATTCCCGGATTTTGCCTGTATTTCTTTCCCTTCTCTGTCTCCAACTTTTCCTATGCACTTCCAGTACATTTCTCCATGTGACTCTCTGGGCAAAGGAAAGATTTTTTAAAGCCGCATTAAGCGCTTTAAGCAGAAGCACTTAAAATATGGCCATATAGAACGAATCAGCAAGCAAATGGAGGAACGGACACAAGCAATCCCCCCCCGCCATATACATATATGAAACGAGTGGAGTATGTGCTACAGATACTAGATATATATATGTGTATCTTCCTACAGATATATACAGATAATATATATATATATATATATAGGATGTGCGAGACTACTGCTGCTGCTGCCGATGCTGCAGTTTCCAGTCCAAAGGCAGCAGAAAGTAGCAACGTTTGCTCAGGTCAGAGCATGCAGCAAGCAGAGACAGAGGCAGCAGCAGAAGCAGAAGCAGCAGCAGAACTGTGTGGCATGTGACTCAAAAGAGGCGGTTGCGGGTGGCACTCAAATGATGTATGTATGTAGGTATGTACAATATCTGTGTATCTGTGAAAATGCAGTCCCAGAGAGAGAGACAGAGAGAGAGTGTGAGCAAGTGCCCGGCATGCGCACTGGAGGTGCCACACAGAAAAATCAATTCAGCTAAAAGTCCACCCGGTTTTAGGGGTTATAACGTGAACAGTTGCACGGGGCAGGGCAGGGCAGCCAGCAACATTTGTTGCGCCATTTCGACCATTTCGAGGGTTGGGGCGCGCCGCACACCACACTCCGCTCCGCTCCGTATATAGATGTAGGTGGAGGAGCAGAAGAGCAGAAGTAATGCTGCAGAGAGGCAGGCAGGCGGAGAGCTTTTGGGGCGTCTGTAAATTGCATTACTGCCATGTTTTTGTGTGTGGGTAGCATACCGCACACGCCTTATGTAATACATAAGAAGCAGCATTACCAGAAGGAGCTGCCGCCCCCCTCTCTCTTGTCCCCTTTGTGCTCACAAAAAGTTTCTCACCGAACGTCCTTGTTTGAGGTTATTTCTGTGTATATTTTGAATGGGTGGCACAATGGGGGCTGTAGGCGGGGCGGTGTGGTAATGGGATTCGATGGGGGGGGCAGGAACCCCTCCAGTATATAGTAGAAAGCAGAAGGATACACATATACACCCACAGGAATACACACACACACACCCACACACACACACAAGAGTGTGGAGAAATTCCAGAAATCCTTTTTTAGCCTTTCATTCAATCATTGTTGGGCGGCGCAGCACAGGGCAACATCCTGCCTCCCTGAAGTCCTGCAGGAAAGGACTGCTGCAGTCAAAGTAATTTCAGGGGAAGCGAATTCTCTGACTGGTGTCCTCCTTCAGGG